TTTTAGACCATAATTTGAGTTACTGTATTTTTAATTGCTGGTAAAAGAGACATAGTCTTGAAAAATGGGACCATCTTCAATCCATAAAGTTGTATGTAGGAGATAATAAAGAGGTAAAGGTGGTTCATCATAGTCTCAATCTAGGGACCTCCAAGTAGATTTGTTGGGGCAGAAGTAATTTTTTTTTGTGGGCCAATATATTTTCTTACAATATGTTTTGAATAGTAATTTGAAATTTTGAATCAGTAGTTAAAAAAGATAGACCCCAAGAACAATACTTTGATGTTGATCTCGCAATTAGTTGTTGGTAACTTGGTATCGGGTCTCAGAATTCAAGATTTGCATAGTTTGATTGCTGATAAAACATGGAAAATAAGGCTGGTTTTTGCATAATGTTTGATCAATTTAGCTAAGAGCATAGTAATATATGAACTTTTATAAGGCCTTTTTGGTTCTCATCTCTATGTGGAATGTTTTGAAATGAATCATGATTTTTCGATCTGTTTATTATGACTGTTATGGAACTAAGCTTGCAAATTCATTTGGTTGTTGTGCTTTTCATTATAGTACCACAGTTTTTGGAGTCTCGACCAATTCCATGCAACTGTCCTTTGACACCAGAGGAAACAGTGTGCCTACAATACTCTTGCTGATGCAACATCGGTTGTATGCTTTAGGAGGTCTCGAAGTAAGCATTTTCTTTCTTCTCTTTACCATTTAGTACTAAACATCACCTTAACGATTTATTTATTTATTTTTATTTATTTTATTTTTTTTATTTTTTTTTTCCCTTGGCTTGCAATTGATTAAAATTAATATGTTAATTCTTAGGCCGAAGGAATTTTCAGAATTAATCCTGATAATGGGCAAGAAGATATTGTCAGAGATCAACTAAACCGAGGACTAATTCCTGATGATGTCGATGTTCATTGCCTGGCAGGTCTAATTAAGGTAATGCTTGAAATATTATCAGCTATAGCTTCTTCACATTTATGGCATGGAATAAAAATGGTGAATAATCAGATTGTTTGTGCTTTTTTTTAGGCTTGGTTCAGAGAACTTCCAACTGGTGTTTTAGACTGTCTTTCCCCGGAGCAAGTCATGGAATCGCAGACAGAAGAGGAGTGCTTTCAGCTTGCAAGGCTTCTTCCCCCAACAGAAGCTGCTCTTCTGGATTGGGCTGTCAATCTGATGGCTGATGTTGCACAGTTTGAGTATATGAACAAAATGAATGCACGCAATGTTGCTATGGTGTTTGCTCCAAACATGACTCATGTAAGTAAAAAAAAGTTCTAAAGCCATGCAATTAAAACATAAGTGTTGATCAGTGATCACATATAATGATTTTAGGTGGGAATAGTGAAAGTTTATTTCTGAAGGTTAATTATAGTTTCTGTTTATTCATGCTGTACTTTGAGTTTTTGCTTCTCTATTCTGTCTGGACCTAATTAGTGTGTCTATGAGCTAAAAAGTTTAGGCTGTCTCCAGTTTTATACCATCTCGAGTCACTTTGGTTCTAGTATGATTTTCTTTCTTTTTATTCTTTGACAATTCGATTTACAATGCTGTTGTCATAAATTGCAGATGGCAGACCCTTTAACAGCATTGATGCATGCAGTCCAAGTGATGAATTTCCTTAAGACACTCATTGAAAGGACTCTAAAAGAAAGAGAGGATTCGGTTTTAGATTCTGCTCTTGATTCTTACAGCAGGGATCCTTCAGGTGACAATGGTTGTCACACTCCCTTGCAAACCATTCATGAGGAGAATACTGAAAGTGAGCCAGAAGTTGTAGAAAACCGTACTTCTGAAGCCATGAACCGTGCTGCAGCCGGTCAACCAGCCACCTCGGCTGAGAACATTAATGTCATTCCTGGAGAAAATCAGTCCTCAGTTAGCAATCACAGAGAAGAAGAATCAACACCTGCAGACACCAAACCCAAGCCATCTAACAAGCAGAAGAATAGTAAAAATGGACAGACTTCTACAACTAAAAAGGGACCTAGAAAGAGTAACGAAAAACTGGTTGTTCAGATTGCCTCTAAGTCGGCAGAGAAAACTAAGGGATCCATCCTTGTTAGCAGTGTGAAACCAAGGAATGAGAGAATTGAAGCTTGGCGGTAAATCTTGTTGTGCTTACTCCGCTTTTTAATAGATCCATGTCTTCAGTTGGGGGAATGGTTGTATTGTCTACATCTTTTGTGGCTGGTGATCCAAAGTCGAAATTGTAGTTTCACTTTGGAATAATGTATTTAGTATCTATTATGGCTTTTCTTGGATGATTTTATATGTTGTATGAGTGGTGATTTGCTGTTAACCTGTTCTGAAGTGATTTGGGATGTTTCCTTTTTAACCCCAGAAGAGCTAACAGTTGTATGTTTTAAAAGCATATTTAGGCTTTGGATTTTTGTATGAATCAAGTCCTTAATTTGCTAATAACATTGTATAGTTGACAATATGGCATGTTATCATGCTATGACGTAAATATCATTTGCGGGAAAATAAGGGAAGTTCTACAACTTCTATAGTCTATGAAGTATAGTAGTTGAAACTTCTAATGATAGTGTTAACATAATTTTTAGGAAATTTTGATAATTATCACCATCTATTGTTGCCAAAATTGAAAATATCACCTTAAGTTTTTTTTTAAAAAAAATTTTACCACCTAGTTTTTTCCAAAAGTTTTGAAAATCCCACCACTTTGTAAGATGATGTCATTGTGGGACCCACAAGTTCGTTTTTCCTCTCTTTCCCACGATTTCCCCTATTATTTTACTCCCTTCTTTCACATCTCTCAAGTTTGATTTCAATTACACAAATTTCGCAAATTAGGTTATAATTTCTACAATCTAACCTAAAACGAAGTGAATTGATTAGATTAATTAGGGTTTGGGTAATTAATTTGGGGGTTTTGCTAAATTGGACAAATTAGGGTTTATGAAGTTAAAATTGAAAGAATAAGTGGACAATTAAACAAGTAATTACCACGAATAAACCCCTAATTTGTCGAATTTAGCAAAATCCCCAAATTGATTATCCTGATTTGTCGAATTTAGCAAAACTCCCAAATTGATTACCCTAATTTGTCGAATTTAGCAAAACCCCCAAATTAATTACCTAAACCCTAATTAAACTAATTAATTCAGTTCGTTGTAGGTTAGATTGTAGAAATTTTAACCTAATTTGCGAAATTTGTGTAATTGAAATCAAATTTGAGAGATGAAATTGAAAGAAAGAAGTGGAAGAATAGGGGAAATCGTGGGAAAGAGAGGGAAAACGAAACTGTGGGTCCCACAATGACGTCATCTCACAAAGTGGTGGGATTTTCAAAACTTTTGGAAAAAACTAGGTGGTAAAATTCAAAAAAAAAAAAAAATAAATAAAACTTGAGGTGGTATTTTCAATTTTGACAACAATAGATGGTGGTAATTATCAAATTTTCCTAATTTCTATTAGAAAGTCAATAGGTTCAATCAGGCACGTACACAAGTAACACAACATGACAAGAATTGAACACACATTAGACTCACCTAATGTGTGCCACATGAGCGCTCATTGAATTTTATTACTAAATTGTGAACGTGTAGGATGGGTTTTTATTTACTTCATATTACTCACTTTGTCTATCTTAAATAGGGTACTCAGATGGAGTTTGGATTGTCCCATGATGGGTCGGGGGGTTTAGATCAGGTAATGACAGGTAATTTTATCCTAACAAACCAAATCAAGTCGGGTCAAACTTAATTATATTTGAGTCAAAAGTGAGTCCAAGTATGGTCAGATACAAATCAAATTTGGATCAAGTCAAATTTAAGTCAAGTCATGTCGAGTTTAGGTGAGTTTAAAGACGGATTTAATTGGGTTTATTTGGGTAAAAATGGATTTATTAGACTTAGTATTGGGTTTCAGATTTGGTTCAAATCAATTCAGTTTTGATTAGAGCTCAGTTTGAATCAATTATGTAATTTTAAACTCATTATCAGTGTAAAAAAAAAAACTCATTATTAAGCTATTTTCTATACAAGTATATAAATTATCTTTTAATCCTGTCAACCCTATATAACAAGTGTTTTAGAATTTCCCTCTTGTATTAACAATTAAATATAACCCCCATTAACTATACTTTATATTTAAAATCTCTCTCGTTGCTCTCCGTTATAATCAACAAGTCGATACAAATTTTCTAATAAGTTTTGGGTCGAGTTCAATGGGGTCGTGGGTAGTTTTGGATCGGGTTGAATAAGGGTCAGGTAAAATGAGGTATTTCTCGGGTATATATGGTTTCGAGTAGATTTCGTCCGGGTTAAATCGAATCCAAGTCTTGAATTATAGGGTTTTTTACGCATTCGATAAACAATTAGTCGGTACCGAGTTGAATTTGGATCGTAAATTACTGGGTACCATCGATTTCGAGTTAAATTCGGGTTGATTCCAGATCGAATTTAGATGAATTTTTTTTGAAACCAACTAGTTCGAAAACAATTCGATTTCAAGGATATTTTCGGGTCAGGTACATTTTTTACACCCTAACCTAGGCATTATATAAGTTCGGCTCGATGGCACGTGGGCCTAGGGCCCTAGGCTGTGCGACCGGGCCAAACTTTTAAAAACTCGTGGCCGAGCCATGGCCTGGGCCTAACTATCTTTAAAGCACATGGGCTTGTCATGAGGGACGACCCAGAGCCATCTTGTATGATTCTACGAGTCAATTTAGAAAATCAGAGGTATTTGTAAAAAAAAAAAAAAAAAAAAAAAAAATCAGAGGTGCAGCCGTGCAGCCATTGATTCAAAATTGCTGGAATTTGATAATTGAGTATGCAAGAAGTGAGTATCAAAGTTAGAAATTAGGAATTTCCCCTTTTGATTGGCTCGCCACCTATTCACCGTCTCGCCTCCATTGAAGCGTACTCACGAATTCTCCATTGAAGAGGCTTCTGAGTTTTCTTTCTACCATTGAAGCTGCTTCTGAGGTAAGACGCTTTTTTTAATTCATTGAATATCAATTTCACAATCTAGGGTTTATCATTCCTTTAATTGTCAGTATATTCAATTTTAGGGTTCTTCAAAAACGGATTATCAAACTTTTGGTTATAATTGCTTAAGTTATGAATGTTTATGACGATTAATTTTGTTGCTAGAATTTTTATATGTGCAATGTACGCTGATTTTTTTTAAGGGAGAAGAATTCAATGTGATCTTTGGAGTTTAATTTGATAATTGGGAAGAATTTAATGTGATATTGGAATTTAATTTGACAATTGAGAAGAATTTAATGTAATTTTTATTGTATAAGGTTACTTTTCACACTTAAATAATTTAATAATCTACTCAGTTTACCCGGGTAGTATTTTTTTTAAAAGGTTGCTATAGTTCAATGTAAGTGAGAATTGTACAGAGAATCACAAAGATATCACATAATCTATTCGAGTACTAAAAAACTTATCACACAATCTTGATCGCATAATTACGATTGATTTTTCATTTTTAAGCCTTGGTATATTGTATATATCATGATAATCTGATATGTTTTCTAATTTTGTTTTTAGTTGTTTGTGTCTATTCTACATGTGTTTTGTAATTTGTATTGATTCACAACAACTGTCAACTCTATAACTCTAATGAAATAACATGCGCTGTTTCAATAGACATTTTTCTCTCTCCACTCAACCTCCTTTGCATCCTCTACCTCTTCCACTTCGAGGGTACATATGTGCTACCTTTATTCTCCAACTTTTACTTGGTTGACTTGTTCAATTCAATGATGTAATAAATAAAAATTTGATTTTTTCGTGAAATTTTATAGGGAAACTCACTTGTGGTATGTCATTCCTGATGAAATAAAGAGCTCATCACTCTTGAAACAATATCTGGATATCCTTTCCCCTTTTGAGAAAAAAAGTGTTCTTAGCTTCCGGGAAGACGAGATCAGGAAGAAAGCCCTTTTAGCTCGTGCTTTGGTTCGCACTACCATTGCTAGATGTCAGTACTAATCTCAATTTGTTTAAAAATTTTTTAATTGTTTTGTGTAAATCTAATTGGTTGGTATGTCGTGGCATTTTAAAGGGTTTTTGCGTTTCCAGTGATTAGGCGATCTTTTAGATTGCAATGCCTTCTTGAAATATTTGCTAATCGGACATTTCTAAGCAACCAAATTTATTAGTTGTTTTCAATAAAGATATGATATCGAGTTTTTACTGATTAATGTACAAACTTTTATGCTTGATTAATATACACTTAATGCTTCATTGGGATATTGAGTTGTGTTAATGTGCTACCTGTATGTATCTTTCAATGTCTGGAACAAAAATGGCTAACTGACTCTTTAATTTGAGCATGGTTATAGAGGTTGTTAGGGGAGGTAGAGATTGATAAAATAATAGGAGAAAGATGAAATAAAAAGATATGTGTATAGTTTAGGGAGGTGTAGGAAGGCTAGTGTGTATGGTATGGCTTCTTATGTGTGTATGTCTTGAATGCCTATGACTCATATTTATAGTTTTAGATGGAGCTTGGTAGAAATGGCCTGAAAATTCCAAAAATTCCTCCATCATTGTTGTATTCATGAGGTTCTAGAAAATTCACATGTCAAGAATTCTCTAGATTATTTTAGTAGCTTGTATGATACGACTATACGAGATTGTAGAAAAATCTAGAGAATTGAGGAGCAATACCAACCACTCTACAATCTACATGTATCCGGAAGCTTCTAAAACATGAACCAATACTCCTTCAAAGTAATGGGCCTATTAAAATCTGGGCCACACCAAACAGAGGCTTCTAGAGTGCATTCTTTCATTTGATGCTATTGTAGCATATGGAATTATGGATACCATGATAAGCTCCATATTGTTTAACCACAATAAAAGAGGTCTGAAATTGTACTCTTGACCTTCTAAGTTAGGACTATTATTATCGCAAGCAGTGGACTTCACAATTCTTATGTCATCTGTTTGTTTGTAACAGAAACGTCACCCTTAAATAATGAATTACTGATTTTCTGATTGCATTTCATGGTAGATCAGACAAATTCTTTTGTTGACCCAAGATCTTTGAAGTTTAAGAAAAACACCTATGGAAAACCCGAGGTTATTGTCGTCTTCCCTTATTTAACTATTGATTTCATTACTCTGGTTAGTCATATGTCTATCTTTTCTTATTATGGTTGCTCTACATTTTGCAGGTTGATTGGCAAGATGTACCTGATATAAGTTGGCCACCATTGCATTTTAATTTGTCACACACCTCATCCTTGATTGCCTGTGGAATTACAACCTATTCTCCTGTGAGATATACCTTTTTCTGCCTTTTTAGCTTATGAAAACTGCTTACTTGATGCAAACTTTTGATTTGATTCTCCGTGCCATCTAGATCGGAATTGATGCTGAAGATAAGAATAGAACAACAAAAAATGATGTCATATCATTTGCTTGTCGCTTCTTCTTTCCCTGTGAAGTCGATCACTTGGCCAATATTTCAGAACCGGAATTACAGCGCCAGGAATTTATAAAATTATGGACACTCAAGGTAATGACTAATATATCATAAGACTTCATGCACAAGCGTGACATGTGTGAGAAAAACTGTTCATTATATTGAAAATTTCAGGCTACAAAAAATACAGTTTTATAATGGTAAAACTGCTTTACTTTGCCTCAATTTTACCTTTTTAGATTGTGAAGTATCTGAGTGTTATATTGCTTAGGAAAAAGAACCATCCATTTCTTGCCATTAACTAAGGCATGTAAAGGTTGAATCAGTAAATGTCTGCAATGTTAAGGGGAAGAATGAAAAGCATTAATTAAATTACACTCAATCTATGTATGTAGACAGGACTGACAGTCCATAAGCTCTTAAATCTCATGAATTGGCCCTTTCTATTCAGTATTTCGTTGGCTTTGAAATTGTAGTTGACAGTTAATATATTGATGCTCAGATCTCACCTTACACGTGTAATTAAAACTTTCAGGAAGCTTTCGTAAAAGCAATTGGAAGGGGATTTTCGGCTACTCCATTTAAGACCTTCAGGATTCACTTCAAAGCTTCTTCAAAAAATAAGTCTAATATTTCAAAAACTGCTGCTCTTGAGGTATTCCTTCAGATGTTCTCTGTCCTTTTTGATGAAATTGATTCCCTTTCAATAGATCTTGTAGCTAGTGTTATTATATAACTGAAAAATGAAAGTTTGTGGCTTACTAATTTATCTGTTTAAAACCAATCTGGACTAGAATGGTTCAGTAATTTTAGTCCAGACTCGGATTGCTGATTGTCTGGTTCCTTAAATTTATCTATCTTTTGCCAATTCCTACCGCTATAGTGCCTTTTGAATATACCTCCTATGTTCTCAATCAATCACAACATATCTTTTTCACAGACTCCAATGCATACTTTGGCCAATGTTATCTTAAATAATCAATAACATATACAAGTATGTAAAATTTGTAAAAAGCTTATAATAAAATCTCACATGATTTTTAATTATTTAGCATATCTGTATAAATATGTGATCAATTTTTTTTAGTTATTTTATTCACCAAATGATCTTACAAAAAAGCAGACAATTGGATAGAACATAGAAGATAAGTGGGTCGACAAATAGGGGGTGGGTAACTATATATCACTTGGCATTATAAATTCCAGAAAGTACATAGCTAGGAAAAGAATTTTTTTTTTTTGACAAGAAGGAAAAGAAAGTTATTAATGTATAATAACTTAAGCTTAATGTAAACCCTTTAAATTTGACTAGGGCTTTGTTGTCCAAGAGGGGATGGGAGATACATGTAAACATATAGTCACTGTAGAAATTGGTCAGCTAACCAAGTTAATAGACTTGACCAAAAAAAGAATTCAATAGAAACTTGTTCCATTAGTTCGACAGCAAATCGTTTTTGTAGTTTGCCAAAAGTTATAGCTGAAGACTGGAGCAGAATCATGTGTTCCGGGTTTGGTCTAGTTTAGTTGGTCTGATTTTCAAGTAAGGCATGATTTTCAAGAGCTCCTTTTGACAATATGTGATTCTGATTTATTTTCTACCTTTTCATTGTATTTTTACGAAGAACCTTCAATTGGGAGATTAATATCCTAGAATGCAATAGTATATTAATATGTTGTTAAGCTCATTTTGAGAAGCTTTTCTTAATATTTCAGCGTTAATGCTCAATCTTCAATCCAGATGTGGTTTGCGATATCCTGTTCTAACTTGATTTTGGTTTTATCAGGATCTGGGTAGATTATCAGTGCGTTTTCATTATTTGTGTACTATAAAAAAATGCTACCATTTCTAAATGTTTAACATATTGCTGATTTTTAAAGCTAATATTGTACGAGTGTTTGCAGCTTACCTTCTGTTTTTCTTTTCTATTCCATAAAATCTAACATGTTTGGTCACTTCCACCTCATGGGTTACCAGGAATCTGATATTGCTGTTGAACCATCTCAGTTTCAAACTGGGGAATGGCAGTTGGCCCTTCTTGACTTGGCTGATACTCATTATGCTGCTATTTGCACACAGAATGATAATTTCAGTGAAGGTAAGGTATAATTTTATCAAATTACCGGTTTCAAAACATGGATATGGGATATCAGTTGTTAATTTGGTCCACTTGTGCAGAAAACCTATCACCTATGGCTTTGAGAGTGGAAAACGATTCCATTTTTGGAAGATGTGTGCATGTCTAGGACTCATTCCGTTATCACTGTTGGTGGGCTTGTCAAGCAACTCTGATTGTTCAATTTTTCTGATGTAAGTACAAATATGGTGAAATTAGTTTTTTGACAGAACAGTGAACACAAGAAGAGAGCTAAATCGAGAATCAAGAAAAGGATTGTTGATAGTACATATTAACAGTGGATCTGATCATTGGGGCAGAAGCTAAAACCAACTTATAGGGTGTTCAAGAGGCTCTTACTTTGTACTTTATGCTCTGTATTATTTTGTTCATTTTATTTGTATAACCTTCCAACATTAGTTCATTTTATTTGTATAACCCTCCAACATTATGCAGAAAATTTAGCTAGGTATTACAGTATTTTTCATTATTAATCAACATTCCACATTGTAGCAGTTGGGATATTGTATTGAGTCAAAACGAGTATAAAATTGCCCCATCTGTTCAAAGTTAATTAAGAGGCCAATTCAATTTTCTCTCTGTTTACCGTGTGTTGGTCGATATAAAGTATGCTAAAATGTCAATAGCTTGTCCGGTTAAGCCTTGGGGGTACTGCACAAGCAAGCATCATAGAACACAGAGACCTAATCCTTGGAAAGCTTTTCATTATTAGCCATGATCACCTTTAGCCATCCAAATGACCAAACTTGGGTGTATCATTCAAAAACATACGTTGTACGTTAGTATAAAAAAAAAAGTATAAGATGTTTAAAAGGAGTGAGCTGCTTATGCTTCAGTGATCAAAACAAAGGTGAACGGTTGTTTAGAATTAGATAACAAGAATAGATGTCAGCCAAATGACTAATGAAACTATATGCTTAAGACTTCATCAAAATTCAAAACCAGCAAATTATGTTGATCAGATTAACCACAACCTCAATGGAGGGGGAGATTGAGCTTCAACAATTTACAAAAAACTAAAACCAAGAATATACTGAGCACAAAAAGTGAGCTAGTAAAGATTGACCCTCAGCATAAACCATCTGCCACGACAAAATGACAGTGCTGAAAGTCATAGCAGACGCTTCAATTTCATTTGCATTTTCATCACCGTTTGCTATCTTTGAACTCTAGAACTGTATACATCAGTTCAATCCGAGGGCATAAAAAGAGGAATTGCACCAATTTTTCCATAGTTCAGCTGTTCAGCACAGCATACAAATGCAAAATCTTGGGAGCAAATACAGTAGATACTTTTAACTAGCATCAATAGCAGCAGCATCGACATTTGCAGCAACAACGTAAAACTTCAAGGCAGTAAATACTGATGTTTTGATGCCTGACAACTTGAAACTTACTGCACAAAAAGAAAGATATGCAAATTGAGATAGGATATAAAACAGAACTCAACTAATAGTGCCACCCCGCGAACTAGTATACTACCTTACACTACTATCAAATCCAAGAAGCTTCCAGAGAAAGCAAAAATAACCAGATATTTGTAATAAGTTGCTGACTTGTTGGAAAATCATTATGGAGTAGGGGATGAAAATCAAAGGTCATGAAAGAAAACTTATCATAAGCTCCTCTGCTCAATCATTCTGAATGTTTACCCATATTTTGCAACATCAAACAAGCACTTCAGCAAAACTGATACTAAATAGAAAATAGAAAGTAACTACTAACTACTAATCTACTATGTGCTTAAATCAAATTGGGATATTGTTTATTAGAAAAAGAAAGAGAGCCTACCTCTAATCAGTCAAAGAATTCAGCCAAATCAATGTAAGGGTTTTATGCTGCCCGAAGAAAAGTTGTGAAGTCCTGACCAGTTAATTCAGGAATTATAGTGTTTACGCAAAGCTTTTAAGTCTTGAAGGCTTTGTTGTAGGGAAGACCCTCGGCTCTGGAGTACTTCTCCAAATTCTGACAAACTCTCCACGTTCTCATTGGAATCAATGCATAGGGCAGTAAGACAGAGTGACTGTATTAACTTGAGAAAGTCCATATCGTTGATTTTCACCTCCCTTAATCTGACTTCACCTTGTGAATCTCCATCACAGTCAACTCGTACCCTGTTGTTCTTCCAACGGAAGTTCAAATCTTTAAGGCTTGGACAGGAAGGAATTGACATCAAGTTATCACAACACTCTATCTTTAATTTTAAGAGACGGGGAAATGCCAATCTACTCCTCAAGATGTGATCATCATCCTTTTCATCAACCACGTACTCCTCCCCCCTACACCATCCTTTCAAACTTCCAAGATATTGAATCTGAAGAGATTCAAGGGAGGGAAAGAATGTGGTCAATTCTTCTCCGTCACTGCTCGTGTTGTTGCTTCTAATCTCCATATACTACAACTTTTCCAAGCCCCAAAATGACAGTGATTTTAGATAGCGCAGTTTACTCAACAATGGTATTTGCTCCAACTCTCTACAAAAATTAATCTTAATGTTGACAAGATGTTGGAAAGAAATTGCCCAATCATCCTCTGCTCTACCCCACCTCGGAATTTTCGTACCCATGTATTTCAACAAGACAAATTCCTTGATATTCGAAGATGGCTCTAGCTTTTCCATCACACCTTCACACTCTGAACATCTATCATCATCTGAATAAAAATATATTTCAACTTTGCTGAGATGTTTCATGCTCTTCAAATACTTTCCTTCACCATCATTCATGTAATATTTTCCGATTTCAATCCGCATGCCACCTTTTAAATCAGTCAGGGTTTTTAGGTCTTTGAGATCTCCCATACGTTGCTCTTCTGTAGAACCTCTCTTTTCCTTACCCACCACAAACAATGTTAACACCCTAAGATTGGTCAACTTACCCATGCCTGAAGGCATACTACTCAACTCACATCGTCGTAAATTCAAGTGCCTAAGTCTGGTCAATTTATCCATTCCAGAAGGCATTCTACTCAACTCATCACAGCCTCTTAAATCCAAGTGCCTAAGTTTTACCAATTTACTAAAATCTTTTGGCAACTCCCTCAAATTATTGCAATCAGATAACACTAATGTCTGCAGATTATTCAGTCTAGTAATAGAATCAGTGAGTGTCTCTAAATCACAATTTGAAGACAGGTCAAGATACGTTAAATGCAGTAGCTTACCAATTGAATCAGGCAGCCTTATCATACCTGCTGACCGCAAGTACAACACCCTTAAACAGATCCAACTGTCAATTGGTGTATCCACTAGAGATGTTGAATGAGAGCTTAAAATAAACGAACGAATCTTACTCTTACAAAAGAAACTTTGTGGACATCGATCACTAGCAAAATACACATGACGAACTTTATCTCCCAATATGGTTGTATTAGAACTCACTACACTTATTTCCTCTCCCCCCACTTCTAGAGCAACATCGTGCATCAAGTCATGGATTTTCGCTCCCTCAATATCACCATATTTATCCTTCTTTACATCTTGAAAGAAACATCTGCGTACCAAAATCAGGAAATGTTCTTCTGCAGCATCTTCTATGCTTTGACCTCCATCCAATGGCACAATGAATCCTTGTGCCATCCAAAGATCAATCAATCTCACCCTCTTTATATAAGCATCTTTGGGAAACAATGCACAATAGCTAAAGCAATTCTTCAAAGAGGGTCTAAGGTTGTGATAACTAAGCTTAAGTATAGACATAACTTCGTTATCACCTTGTCCAATTTTAGCCAATCCACTATCCACAAATGTCTGCCACTTACTCAGAGGCTGACCAAATAGAAGACTTCCGACCACCTTTATAGCAAGCGGGATGTTGTAGCATTTTTCAGCAATTTTCTTTCCAATATCAACTAACTTGAGATGATTAACGAGCTCTTGTTCCCCTTTGTCAAATGCTATAGACTCAAACAAGAGCCAAGAATTCTCTGGAGACAAACCTTGCAATTTGTGCACATGTTTTTCCCCGATAATCTTTGCAGTCATCTCCGAACGTGTGGTCACCACAATCCGACTACCCTGCCGACCCAACGTTAAGAACCTGTACAGGCAACGCCATTTCTCACAATCTTCATTCCATACATCATCAAGAACAAGCAAGAACTTCCTTCCTTTTAATTTCTCTTGAAATTTCTTCTGCACCCATTCCATTGTGGCTGTAGCATCAGGCTTGTGATCAGTAACTAATTCTAAAATCTTACAAAGGATTGATCTGACATCAAATTGCTCACCATCTTGATCAGAGACACAAACCCACAACCTCAACTTGGGATCCGGAAACTCTGCTTCAACCTCTTTATCATTACAAACGAGTTGAGCAAGAGCAGTCTTACCCAATCCACCCACTCCCACAATACTCAAGAAACGAATACTTTCATCAACATCATTTGAACCTAACAACATATCAATGACTACCTTTTTATCATGCTCTCTCCCAATGATAGCCTGTGCGTCCACGTAGGAATAAGTGTCGTCCCTCCTCCTAACAATAGGATTATAGTCTACACTAAGACCAAACTTCTGATGGTTGCTAACAATTTCATCCAACTTCTTTCTAATTTCCTCGACCTGATGAGACATTCTACGAGCATTACTCACCCTCTTCTTAGTAGAAAAAAAGCTGCGTACCTCTTCTTAGTATCTTTCAAATAAAAACAAAGACCCCAATAAAAGTACATTACTAAAAAAAAGTGAAAGCATCCAATAGCTAATGTGGGAAAATGAGCACATCCATCAATTCCGGTGAAATATGTAATAATAAACCAATAAACATGTACGGCTCAGTCAAATTAATCATTTTGATAGTTTGATTATTCTTTTCGATGATAAAGGTTTAACCTTAATTTTAACACCACACCAAATACAACTGTACAAGTATATTTCTAAAGTATATTGTAGTTGGAGATGGAGTACTCCAATATTTTAAAAGATGGTTTCCTCAAAAAAAAAAAAAAAAAAAAAGAGTAATAATTAGGAGATGGGTACATTAAAGCTTTAGAATCCACATTATAAAAACCAAAAACTTTAGTCAAATGGATCAGTCCTCATTTCTTTATTGGTTTAATGCATTTGTCACATACTCACCGTACTGTTGTGTAGCAACATCTTCAGGAATCCTACCATTCAGTCTCCTATACTGTAGATACACCTTGATAATCTTGGTAATCTGTTTAGTGTTTACAGCTCATAACATTCTGAGGTAGGATTGCTGAAAGATCAATTATTCTCATCAGTTGCTAGTTTGCTACCAATAGTCTTTGCAAGAACATGCTCCGTTTCTAAAATGATGGAAGCGAGTTGCATCTCTAACAACAATAAGCCGGTCCACGGTCTTGCTAACTAGCTTTATAAACAAATGACAGTCTTCACATACTCGAAGGTTCTTTATCACAACAATTTCTGCACCAGGCAGAGTGTTGAGTAGCCCAAATGCAATTGCCAGCCTTTCACTATGTAATCTACTATTGCTCTGCCTGAACTCACCAAGATTCCCTACCGACTTTTCCAATCTTTCCAACATTTTGCAGATTTCATTTGTCTCGGGATGGGATGTATCCCCTGCCAAGAACATATGAATCCTCCCTTCATGTTCAACATAACTATACCCGGGATCTTTTCTAAGTTTCAGCCCTCTCATCATCACTTGGGTTTTCTTTACACCCTCAATATTTCCAGCATCCAAGTATATGTTTGATAATAAGACATAGTAACCAGTATTTGCTGGTTCAATCTCAACAACTCTTTGAAAAGCCAATTTAGCCAATTCAACATTTTTATGAATCTTACAAGCACCCAAAAGAGCTCCCCAAACAGCTGCATCAGGTTGCATTGGCATAGAAATGATGAGCTCGTGAGCTTTGCTAAGACAACCAGCTCGTCCTAATAGATCAACCATACATGCATAATGCTCTTTTTTGGGCACTAAATTGTAATATTTTCCCATTGAGTAGAAATATGTCAAACCTTTATCAATTAGGCCTGCATGACTACACGCAGATAAAACGCTCACAAAAACTGTTCCATCAGGTTGAATCCCACTACTAATCATCTCATCAAACAGATCAACTGCAACCTCTCCTTGCCCATGCAAGCCATAACCACCTATCATAGCCGTCCAAATGACTAAGCTTTTCTTGGGTGTATCATCGAAAATTGCACGAGCCTTCACCAAATTTCCACATCTAGAATGCATATTAATCAATACACTTCTCAAGAACACATTCGAACTATACCCTAAGGTTTCAATTTGCTTCTCCACATCACAACCAATACTACGAGCACCAAGGTGCGCACAAGAGGATAAAACCCCAACTAACGTTACAGCATTAGGACGGATCCTCAAGGACTCCATCTCATGGTAAAGATCCAAAACACGAGCAGGAAATCCATTTTGTGCATATCCATTAATCATGGCATTCCAAGTAATCAAACTCTTTTCTGGTATCTTGTCAAACAATCTTCTAGCAGAATCAACCGACCCACATCGTAGATACATGGTCAACAAACAATTTACTACAGCAACATCATTAACCAGCCCACACCTAACATTAAGACCATGTAGAGACATCCCAAACCTCAAATGCGGCGGCAAACTACAAACAGGGACCAACCCAAGCATGGTAACATCATTATAAGCCACACCCAAAAACCTCATTACACCAAACAAGGACACCACATCGGAAACCCGGGATTCCATCGAATACCCAGAAAGCATAGCATTGTAACAGACAGTGGGCTGGTGCTGAAATGGTTGGGGAATTTCATCAAACACTTGGCGTGCACTATCAAGTTGATAACATTCACAATAAAACGAGATCAAAGAGGTTCTTACAAAGGTATCTGAGAGTGACCCAGTTTGAAGGACATGGGAATGGAGCTGTTGGCCAGTGAAAAAGAGAGAAAGAGAGGCGCAAGATTTAAGGATGAAGGGGAATGTAGAGGAATCTGGGGATTGCCCAAATCGCAGCATTCGGAGGTATAATTGAAGGGCATTTAAGAATTGATCTTGCTTCGAAAGCTCTCGTAATTGAAGGTTCCATTCGTTGACGGTGGCGGCGAAGGTGGTGGAAGTTGGACGATTTGATGGGTTTTGAACGGTGAGAGTGGCGGGAAGATGACATATAAATCGGGCTTGGCGGCAAGTGTTGCTTTGTTTGATCATAGTCGTTGAGTTTTAAACGTAGTAGTAACTAACTAACTATTAGACCAGTAGTTAACTGCTGCTGGTGCTGCTGCTGCTGCTGCTGCTGCTGCTGCTGGTGCTGCTGCTGCTGCTGCTGCTGCTGCTGGTGCTGCTGCTGCTGGTGCTGCTGCTGCTGCTGGTGCTGCTGCTGCTGCTGCTGCTGCTGGTGCTGCTGCTGCTGGTGCTGCTGCTGCTGCTGGTGCTGCTGCTGCTGCTGCTGCTGCTGGTGGTGGTGCTGCTGCTGCTGCTGCTGCTGCTGCTGTGCTGCTGCTGCTGCTGCTGCTGCTGCTGCTGCTGCTGCTGCTGCTGCTGCTGCTGCTGCTGCTGCTGCTGCTTGCTGCTGCTGCTGCTGCTGCTGCTGCTGCTGCTGCTGCTTTTATATTTAATTTAATTAATTTAATTTGGAGTAAGTAATAGGCGAGGTTGTCCAATCCACCAAATCATTTTGGTCCCAATGACCATTTAAAATAAAAGTTTAGCGCGATGCAAGAATGGGCGCGACTCCATTCTCACAAAGTTAGTCTAGGATCCCATCTAACTTTCATTATAAAATAAAAATGTAAATACCAAAAGAGAAGAGGACATGTTGATCAAACAAGCCTCGAAAAGCCACGGGCTACCACCGTGTACCCCAACCCATAATTGCCAATACTCCAGAAGTGCACGCTTTCCAGAGTTTTATTGCTCATCCATGTTTCACTTTACGTGATTACAATTTTAATTAATAGCCGACTCAATCAAGAAGACCATACATAACAATCATACATCAATTCACTTTTAATCTTATTTAGGACAATGGTGATCACATCACAAGTTGACCTTTAATTCCATTAATCTTCTAAATTATTCAAAATTGTTGAACATAGTCAACCCACCTAGCCATTTCGGCTTAATCCACCTTTACTCAACATACTAACAAGTCATGATTGAGTAATAAATAAATAAATAAATAAATAAATAAATAAATAATAACCTTGTGGAATAATTAATAAATTCATTCCACTTAAACCATTCATTTCCAATCCTTTAATAATCCAAATGTGGTTAACAAACCAATCCAATAAAATTATGCTTGTATCAACATTCCATACAAACAATAAATCCAATATAATTCAACATGTTTGCATCCATAATTCCATACAAACATAATCAATTCACCAAAACATGTCTCATAAACATAAGCACATGAATTAATTAAATGTATAACCAAACAATTTCCATCAAAGTGTTCCCTAATCATAAAACTAAGTTCTTTCCTTTTGGTACCTAAACATGATACTACTTATAACGAAGTAGACATGTACATACCTCGTGTAAACAATTCGGTTTGCCACTTAAAAACTAGAAATCACCTTCATTAAACTCCTCTCCTAAACCAAACAATAACATCTCAATCAATACCCAATCAATCAAATTTACAGCAACGCTAACTTACTTTAAAACCTTCAAAATCCAAATCAAACAACACTTTAAAACCCTTCCTTTAATTAAAATTAAAGGCTTATATATAGTTCTTTAAATTTTCTTCATAAAAACCATAAAATACATCATTATACATGAAATTACAGCAAGTTTAAAGTTTAATAAAAATCTTAAAATTATTTAAAAACCTCTAATAATTTCCCTTTTTAATGGGTGATTAAACCCTCTTTATAAAACATCAAAAGTAGTACTTAGGAACTATTTTCAGCACTTAAAACTTCAATAAAAAAAATATATTTATGCTTAATTAACTTTAAACATAATTAATTTTATTAATCAAACTCAAGGATAATATTTTAAGTATAAAAAACTTCGTTAAAATCAAAAACTGCCCGAAAATCATATTTAGAGGCTGAATTTGGCCACGAGAGGGTGGTGAAAACTACCATAGGTAGTGAGTTTTTCTTAAAACGTTGTTTCCACATGGAAAACACTACTTTTTTGTCAAAATCGGATGAGTTCAGAACCTGATCGGGATTAATATTAATGAACGAAAATCTTAAAATTAAAACACGAATTTAAGTGTTCAAAACAATATGGAATTAAGTTAAACTAATTAGTACTTATAATCACCAAAATTTCAAAACATCATTACTATAAAAGCCCTAAATCAATTGTTCATAAAAACCCTAAAATCATGATTTTCAATAATTAAAAACCCTAGGTTATAAAATTTACAAAATTTGAAAATTATGACACTTATAAAATCTGAAATTATAAAGTTTAATCATCAAAATACAATTTGATACTAATTAAATTAATTTCAAACAATAAAATCAAAATCCATAATCAATAATTATAATTACACAAATCTATCTATCTATATATTTATCATACTAAAAGACAAGCGCATCAATGTGAGGATGACAAATGTCACTCTCTCATTGGCTTATCTTATGTATAAAATATATCTATATAATTATTGTTTACATATTCAACCATAGTTATTTTTGTTAAACTTCAAACAATAAAAGCAAGTTTCTATACATGCATAAGATTTTCATGATTTCCTAACATAAATATTGATTTAATTTTTTTTATAATAAATATATACTTTCCAATACTACAAATAATCCATAAAGTCTTTCCAATCTTTATTTATAGTCAATTTAAAGAATAATAACTAATTTGAAGCAATATGATTAAAGTGGCATAATTAAGGAACAAATATTTCGTATTTTGAAAGGCTAATATTTTTTTTATGAAAATTAAATAAAATCGATAGAATTTAGTTTGACGTCAATTATGAAATCAATACAAACATTTAAAAAAAAATCAGATGTACAATAAAATATTGTGCACCTATTATAAAATCTACCCTGTAATGAATGAAAGTTATTTATGCTTTATTGATAAAAGTTACCCAAAATAGTCTACAAGTTATCCTAAGGGCTTGTTCTCTTTCGTTGAAATTCAGTTCAGTTTAGCTCAGTTCAGTTCAGCTTAGTTCAGTTCAGTTCAGTTCAACTCTTAATTTACGTCTAATGATATTGCTAATGATATAAAGTCAAATTTCATTCTTTTAAACTCTTATTACAACAACAACAACAACAACAACAACAACAACAACAACAACAACAACAACAACAACAACAACAACAACAACAACAACAACAACAACAACAATAATAATAATAATGATAATAATATTAACAATAATAATAATAATAATAATAATATTAACAATAATAATAATAATCAATAAGTAATAAATAATAAATAATAATAATAATAACAATAATAATTGAAATAATAATAATAATAATCAATAAATAATAATAATAATCATCAATAAATAATAATAATAATAACAATAATAATAACAATAATAACAATAATAATAATAATAATCAATAAATAATAATAATAATAATCATCAATAATTAATAATAATAATATTAATAATAATAATAATAATATTATTATTATTAAGAATATGTACATTTGTATATACACATATGTATAGTAATAAATAATCAATAAATAATCAAAGATCACTAATCCGTAGTTAAAAATCACTAATTAATAAGTTCAGTTCAGTTCAGCTCAATTCAGTTCAGTTCAGTTCAGTTCAGCTCAGTTCAGTTCAGTTCAGTTCAGTTTAGTTCATTTCAGCTGAGTTCAGTCAATCGGAACAACCCTAAATTCAATTCAATTCAAGTAATCGGATGAATACAAAAGTTTTTGATAAAGATACAAAATAGTGTAAAAATTACTTTTATCGTTTGTTGTACTCCTTGACAAATATTGAATGCTGAGCCGAAATGTTGTCTTGGAAAAAAAATACATAATCTTGAACATAAATTTAATTTTAATCGGCCTTTCATTTTCTATACAATGTCTTTTACAATGACCTTTTGTTTTTCTTGCATAAAAAAAAAAAAAAAAAAAAAAAAAAAAAAAAAAAAAAACTGAATCAATAACCAATCTAAACAAGAAGAATAAAAGTTAAATTGAATTAGACATTTGACGGAAAAGGGACAGATATAAAATGTATTATAAATATTACTCGTGTGTTTAAATTGTAATATTCGTAATAACAATGTTATTACTTATGAATTTAAAAATTGTGCATTGCTCATGTACTATACTAGATATATAACAATCATGTGCAATAATTTATGTTGTTTTATACATAATAATACTTTTAACTATAATAGTATGTGTATATAATATAATATTTTTTATAATATAAAAAAGTATATGTATATAATATAATATTTTATAACACGTGTCCTCCATACCAAGTGTAGTCCCAATCATCACTACACCAATTGGTTGTTGGTGTAGTGGTGACTGAGACTACACTAGGTAGGGAGGACCTGTGTTCGCTTCCCTGCAACAACAATCGGAAGGGGAATGGAACCTAATAACCTAGAACTGATCCTCAAATCTGGATTAGCCCAAAGGGTGAACCGGATAGAACACGCAAAACTCAATGCATATATGACGGGAATTAACTTATCCTTTATCTATCTTATACAAAACTCCAAAGTCTAATTTTTTTTTTCAAAATATAATAATAATAACATTTGTAAATTTTTGTTAATATGAAAGATATAAACCTATCAAAATGTATATATAGTTAAATTGTTTAATAACTTATATCGAATGCGTAGTTTTATTAAAATTATTTGCATGTAATCATTAAATGTGTTGGATGTTGTGTAGCTATGCAATGTCCAAAACTTTAGTTGAGCGACTTTGATTTAGTGACTGTACGGTAAAAAGATATTGACTTCAATCTTGAAACCTAATAGTCTAATAAATTCTAAATAGAAAAATTAAAACAAAAGGAAATGAAAATAGTAAATGGCTTTAAGTATTGAAATAAACATAACCTTTTAAATCAATTTAGCGAAATCAAGAGACAATTTTAAGGCTTTTAAAATTAAATGGGGGAAAATATATGTAAAAAGAACATTTTTATATATATAAATGTCCATGCACTATTATAAGAGTTTTGTTAACCTTTTTATAATTAAGGTAGGGATAAATATTAGTAATATATATTCCGTATATTTTATTTATATAAAATTATCAGTATCCATACCTATATACGAAGTATTTGTGTTATATACTATATTTAATCAGCTTTTGGTTATATATGTGACTATTATATAATATATAGTTTTTGTCACAATGGTTAACTTAGGAAAATATATGTTCTGGTAGGTCAAATATAAGGCTATTATTGTGTTTATAGATTTAATGAGTGCAACGGGTAAATAAAACATGTATATATTAGATTGATTGTAGCTACTGATGCGGATGGTATGATAAGAAAATTATAGTTTTTTCTCAACAGGAGATATAAATAAATTAGTCCATTTCTTATATAGCTATGTGGAGTATTATTCAATTATTTTTCAATTAATAGAATATAACATTATAAAAAATTAAAAGAAATTCAAATAACATAAAATACTATTCAAATAATGTTCCTTTAATTTTTTTTTATTGACCATTAGTAACCAAGTCCTTTAATAGTAAATGAATTACCTCTGTTTTTATTTTTATTTTTCCTACGGGTTTAATAATTTGATTTATACACTATGCTAGTTAATAAAACTAAGGAGAAAAAAAATAAGACTAACCTTTTTGTGTGGGAATTTTTTTTGGGGATTCATGGGGTATTTATAGGAGAGAATTGTAGGGTAAATAAGAAGATTGGGCCTCATAAAAATAATGGGTCGATTACAAATGGGTTAGGCTTGTGTGATTGAACATAAATTGTAGAATAAAGGTGCATAAAATAATTTGTTCAAATAAATTTCGACCCAAATTAATAATTTGAAACTTTTGAAATTAAATTATGAAAAATAAAAAATAAATATTATAAATAAAATAAATTTTCATTTATAAAATATTTAAAAAATACGGGGGATTACAACTACTACTACTACCACCACCACCACCACCACCACCACCACAACCACTCCTGCTGCTGCTGCTACTACTACTACTACTGCTACTACTACTACTCCTACTACTACTACTGCTACTGCTACTTTTGCTGCTGCTGCTACTACTACTACTACTACTTCTACTATTACTACTACTGCTACTGTTGTTGCTACTACTACTCCTACTACTCCTCCTGTTGCTGCTCCTGCTGCTGCTATTACTACTACTCCTCCTACTGCTCCTACTATTGCTCCTACTGCTCCTACTATTGCTACTATTGCTATTGCTCCTCCTCCTCCTACTATTACTACTAACTCTACTACTACTTATACTGCTACTACTACTAGCTAACTCTACTGCTACTGCTACTACTGCTGCTACTGTTACTCCTACTCCTACTACTGCTCCTACTACTGCTACTACTACTACTGCTACTACTACTACTACTACTACTACTACTAATTCAACTCAATGAACTAACAATCAATACCCACATACATATAATGTTTCTACACATTGTGATTCTAATATCAAATGTTTATAAAAGAAATTGTTATTATTATTATTTATTTTTTTGAAAAAATTGTTATAATTATTAAAAATTATTAATTGATAATATTATTAAATATTAATTCTTAATAGTTTGAATTATTAAATATTAACAAAGATAACTAATTTTTAATATTAATAATTATTATAATTATTCAAAATAATAAATTATTATCATCAATACAATATTAATTATTATTATTGTTATTATTAATTATTATTTGAAAATAGAGCAGAGCAGTGCAGAACAGATTTTTTTTGGGCAGAGCAGAGCAGCTCTAACGAACGGGGCCTAAGTTAAGTACAACCCCTAAGAGCACTAGCAATGGTGAGTTTTTTTTTTTTGCTCATGAGCTTTTTTTGTGAGGAAAAAAAATACTCAAGGCTTACAATGGTGAGGAAAAGGGAAAAGGGGAAAAAAAGCTCATGAGCAAAAATAAAAATGCTCAAAACTTGAGCTTTTTTGGTGATGAACAGTAAATGAAGTGGGCCCCACACGCGTCAGACCCACTAAAAAAATTTCGCCTCCCCCACCATCAAAACGACGCGTTTTGATGAAGTAGTCTCAAAGGCGCGCCTCAAAACGCGTCGTTTTGAGCTGCCAGAATTAAAAAAAAAAAGGAAGAAGATCTGACGCGTGCAGGCGATTGGCGAGTGGAGAAGCGACGCGTGGCAGATGCAGCGGAGGAGCCAATCACAAATTACTAGCCGTTTACAACGGTTATTTATTTATTAAGCATTTTCAGAAAAATATATTTTGTAAAAAAAAAAATAATAATTTACCAACGGTCATAAAATTAAATTCTCTAGCATTTTGATATATTTTGATATAATTTTGTAAACACTTTAAAATCCTCCAAATTTTAATTTTCTTAAATTCTCTATAAATAGACATGCATTGGGAATGGAAGAACTGTCCAACGACATGGAAAGCGCAGTACGCCGGTAGGAACAAGAAAGCAACGCTAATACTGGAAGCCGTTGCAGATCAGGATTTATGGATATGGCATTCCTTCTTTGGGATCATAGATCTTGTAATGACCTAAATGTCTTATACCGTTCCCCAGTGTTCGATGAGGTTCTGCATGGTCGAGCTCCTCCGGTAAATTTTACCGTTAACGGCCATGAATACAACATGGCATATTACTTAGCCGACGGTATTTATCCGAAGTGGGCAACTTTTGTTCAGGGTATCACAACCCCTCAACTTCAAAAAGATAAATTGTTCGCTGACCACCAGGCTGCTGCTCGAAAGGACGTTGAAAGAGCATTCGGTGTTTTGCAAGCTCGATTTGCAATAATACGAAAACCGTCACTGGCGTACGATGAGGACATACTGCGAGACATAATGAAAGCATGTATCATTATGCACAACATGATTGTTGAAGATGAGCGCCACAACTACACTCGAGCCGAAGTTCTAAGAGCGTTCTACGAAGAAGATCAACAAGAATCAACACCAGCATCAACATCTACAACGCCACCGTTTGAATTCAACGTAGGCCGACCTACCAACTTTGACTTCAACGCATTTCTACAGCGAAAAGCTTCCCTCCGTGACAGAGAAATTCATCTATCTCTGAAACGTGATTTAGTCGAACATATTTGGCAACGATACGGGCCACGTAATTAGGGAGAAATTAGACGACTTAAATAAAGCCAAGTACTATGGCGTAGCTACTTTTCCGTACGCAGTCGAGTTATTTTTTAGTTGTTGTGTTTATTTTATTTCCTAAGTTTAATTACGCATGACGTTGCAAATGTAATTGTTCTCTAGTATTGTACCGCTTTTAAAATAAATAAAAACATTTAACAAATTATGAGCTTTTTTTTACAATTTTTTTATATAACGTATTTAATTTTACGACAAATTTTAACGATAAAAAAGACAACAATAAAAAAAATAAGTTACACAAATTTAAACTAGTTTTTATTTATTTGGAGTAACATTGTTAAAATATAAATGAAATAAATAAATAAAGAAGTGTTGTGTAGGAGAGAGAAAGTAATGGTGGGGTATTGAAAAAGTAAGAGAGAGATAGTGGTGGGTGAGCTTTTTTTTGCTCACCATTAGGAGAAGAAATGTAAAAAAAATTTGCCCATGAGCAAAATTAATTTGTTGAGAGAGAAAGTGAGTAGAGAGAGAGTGGGTGAGCATAAAATGGATTTTAAAAACTAGCTATTTTCTTAACGGTCAAATGAGACCAGTGTAGACGTGTACGAGTAACATTTAAAAAATATACCCCGTTACTACAGTATTAATCAAAGTATCTCAATTAAAAATAACGTTGGTAGTTGATAAGATATTCATCTTTTTCAGCTGGATAAGATATTCTCTCTCCCTTTTCTTCCATCACCATTACAGTACCACCTTAGCTAAGCTCTTCTCTTCGCTTCCCAATTCACACAGTAGAGAGAGAAACTTAGTTAGAGAGAGAAAACTGAGATACCCATTTCCATGGAAGCTTTACATTTCACTGCAATATCGCCATTTTCCCGCCAATTTTCTTCTCTCTCCTCCACCACTAAAACCACCAATTCTCTCTCTTCTTCATGGACTGGTTCAACCCCTGCTGTCGGCCTCTCGTCCCGGAATCCTTTTTCTGTAAGCTCTTAATTTTCGCCCAATTTCGAGGGTTTAATTTTCAATTTTAGGGATTTTACCTTTTTTTTGATTGATGAAGGAGAAATTGGGGTTTGAATGACAGAGGGAATTATGGAGAGCTGTGAATTCGAAGGCGGTGAATGTAACCAGTCAAAGAGATATGCGAGGAGTTATTAGGGCCGAGATGTTCGGACAGCTTACCACTGGCCTCGAAGCTGCTTGGTCCAAACTCCGAGGCCAAGGTATTTTATTTAGTCGTTAAAATGTTGCAATTAATAAGAAACCTAGAAAATGTAATTTAAATTACTCCACATTTCGTTTAGGTAGTGTTGTTTTTTTTTTTTTTTGGTAAATTTTATGATCATACTGTATTGGGTTGTTAGCTTTGATTTTTAATTTTGTTTTAATTATATTGATGTATATAATCATAGAATGTTTAGAATTTGAGACAATATGGTAATTATTTTGTGACATTTCAAAGTTGATCTATTGTAGTCAAAATAATTACACCAATTCCCTTATTAAGATGTGTAGAGAGGTCTGTTGGGTTTATGTGAGATGGTTCAAACATAAAATTGAAGACATAATGCTGGCTTTGATTGGAGAAATTGAGGTAGTGAAGTGGTGTTGTGTATCCATGGGATATGTCCGTGCAAGAATAAGCACGTCCGTGGTGGCTGGAAAATTGGATGATCTGGAGTAACACATCTATGTTGGTTTTATTATTTTTCATAAGTATTGGCAGTTTAGAGAATTTTATTGCTAAATTACAGAAGCTTCTCAGAATCTGCTATTGTTCAGATAATATCCAAAATCTTTTCCTCAGTTTTATGTTTATGTTGTGCTAATGAATTATTATATGAAATTGTAGATGATGTATTGATTATATATAATATATAAACCATTCGTGTGAAAAGAGATGGTAACCCATGTTCTTTTCATGTTTTTCAACAGAGGTCCTGACCAAAGAAAACATTGCTGAACCTATGCGAGATATCAGAAGAGCTCTTTTGGAAGCGGATGTGAGTTTATAGTCAGTTGTGATGCTGTTGAGTAAAAGCATGCTGGATCCTGGATAACGTGATTTTATTTTGATTCATGTCATGACAGGTGAGCCTTCCAGTAGTAAGAAGGTTTGTTCAGTCTGTAAGTGATCAAGCAGTTGGAGTTGGATTGATCCGAGGAGTTAAACCTGATCAACAATTGGTCAAAGTATGATTTGCTGAAGCCACTTATTGGCCTACTTTTACTTATCTTTTCCTTTCTCTTGCCCCTGTTTCTTTCTCACTGCATCGACCTGATATGACTATGTACTGAAGTTTTCATCATGCATCAGACTTTCAATGGCTAGGAAAAAAATAAAATAAAATCAAAGGCTTAATTTTCTGGTTCCTTCATATTATTGGTAGATTGTAGCTGTAGAATGTGTGCACAATCCTAGCTTGATGTTTTAGTTACACTGATTGTAATTCTTGCTGCCTGGTTACTGCTGCAGATTGTAAAAGATGAACTTGTAAAGTTAATGGGAGGAGAGGTTTCTGAGCTTGTTTTTTCAAAGTCTGGTCCCACTGTGATACTATTGGCAGGATTACAAGGTGTTGGGAAGACAACTGTTTCTGCCAAATTAGCCTTTTATCTTAAGAAGCTGGTACATAAATGAATTCTTTCCTTGAGCTTACAAACTATTTTGTTGTTACACATTCTCCTGCTGCTCTATTGTGTTAAAATTATGTGGATTTACGTCCAGGGGAAGAGTTGCATGCTGGTTGCAGGAGATGTTTACAGACCTGCAGCAATTGACCAACTTGTAATTCTAGGAAAGCAGGTAATGACCTAAAGTTCCCTGTATTATGTGTTGTTCTCTTGTCTCTGTAAGTTACTGAGGAGTATCAGCATTTTGGATTTTTTTTTCCCATTTTGGTTTTCCAAATAACCTGTCCTTGAGATGTCGAAGATTCAACTCTAAATGCTCAAAATTCTTAGTGTCTTTTTGTGAACTCATAATGCAAAACAGCTGAATGTTCAAAAGAGAAAACTTGCATTGAAATCAATATGGTGAATTAAGCTATTTCGTTTCTGACATGATGGGACCAAACCAGAAGAGTAAATAATATTAATTTTATTAGTTACCATAAACTCACATTGTTTCATTAGATGCATTTTTGGACCCATACATCTTTTGAATAGCGACCTCTTACCTTACAAACCTTTATACTTTCTGCTAATTATTGATAGATACAGAGTTTGCAATACCATGCTTCTCATTCTCATGTGAAATTGATTGAATCTGGAGAAGTTGGTTGGTACTTGAATTTGTCACATATTTATCTTTCCCAGTTGATGATAAAAATTATAGATCTTTCTCATGCAACTATTTGTATAAACTAGTAACATCAGGGATCTTTTTGAGTTTAGGATAGGAGGACTGGTGGGTATTAAGTTTTGTGCAGCTTTACCCCTTGTTAGTAAGGATGGTTATTTTTTAAAAGATCCTCAAAACAATAAAATAAAGATAAAAAATCTGTAAGGGAAGATAAAATAGTACCGTGATAGTATGGAATTGGCACTAAGTGCTCTTAGATTTTGTGTAAGGAGATTTTTGAAATTCAACTGCCTCTAAAGATGCTTTTGCCAAATGTGAGGGAAGGGAGTGGGAGGCAAAAGTGTACAGCCTTTTCTAAGAAAAGATGGAACAATTAGATCCCTTTCTTTGAAAAAAAGCTTATGGCCATTTTAATCTACTTTTCTTGAATAGTTCTGTAAAACTGTAGAATTTATCATTTGTTTCTTTGACTTTTAAGAATAATTGATTTTATGTAATCATAATATCAACATTCATAGCGTGGTAATAGCTTTGATGTGCTTTGTCTCTATACATGAAGTATATCCACTCTCATGTTTATCATCAAGCTTGTGACAGGTGGATGTGCCTGTCTATACAGCAGGTACTGATGTAAATCCTTCAGATATAGCTAAGCAAGGTTTAGCAGAGGCCAAAAAGAAAAATATTGATGTGGTTATAGTGGATACCGCTGGTAGACTTCAGGTGATGTTGCATCAATCCAATCCCATGGTCTAGTTGCTATTACATGGTTGGCTTCATATACTGGACTTAGGTAGCTTCAATTTTGGCAGATTGACAAAGGAATGATGGATGAGTTAAAAGAAGTGAAACGAGCAGTAAATCCTACCGAAGTTTTACTGGTTGTAGATGCAATGACTGGTCAAGAAGCTGCAGGTATAGAATTATATGCTGCTTGTTTAATCTATGTATTCCATTACGAGTTTATGAGACATTTGTATCAAGGCAAAGATAATATTGAGCCTATCTATGTCTCTTCTAGGATAATGAAGCTAACCATGCTGTTGTTTCCCAATTACATCTCTCTCTGTTTTTTTTTGTGGGCTGGTTTTGAAAATGCAGCTTTGGTTACCACATTCAATCTGGAAATTGGTATTACTGGTGCTATATTAACAAAGCTTGATGGAGATTCTAGAGGTGGGGCTGCTCTCAGTGTCAAAGAGGTAATGATGATTATAAAGTGTATGTGTAAAGTCTTCTATCCGAAGAGAGCTACTTTTTACTTTTCATTCTATGCAACATCTATGTGACTATGTCCAATATTATAAATGCAATATTGATGGCACCATCCATCAAGCATTCAAGCTGTGCCATTAGTTCTCAAACTAGGAATAGGAGGCTATTCTCTGGTATACTTTTCTTTCATTTCACTTGTATTTTGATTTGGGTGATTGGGTTTGAAGTGAATTTTGCAATACTCCTTAAAATGGAAGTATGATCTTTGGTTTAGATAGTGTTGTATCAGCAGTGGAAATATAGGCTTTGGAATTTAGGGTCTGACTAGTGTGATTATAATTCATTAGTGGTGGTTGTTAATCTTGGTATTATTATAATTCATAAATAGTGGTTACTATAAATGAGCAACATTTGCTTGTTGAATAATCTTTTTTGGTTCATAACAAAATAACTAGTGCTCTTATTCGCATGTTCTGTTTTGTTTCAAGTTAAATTCTTGGGACACCCATTAGTCACCAATTCTTCCAATCCAAGGCTTTAAAATACCCAAGGAACTATAAATGAGCAACATTTGCTTGTTGAATAATCTGTTTTGGTTCATAACAAAATAACTAGTGCTCTTATTCGCATGTTCTTTTTTGTTTCAAGTTAAATTCTTGGGACACCCATTAGTCACCAATTCTTCCAATCCAAGGCTTTAAAATACCCAAGGAACTCACATGAAGCTACATCCTGCTTTTTTTCTTTCTTTCTTTTTATATATAATATAATTGATGGGTACATCCTTAATTCCTGAATCCTGATAGCTCAGCTAGGAAGCTTTTTTTGAAGCAAAATAGTATTGAACCCTTTTAAAGCATGTTAAAACAAAATTAAAATCCCTTTACTATTCTGCATATAGTCAGCCTTGCAACTGGAATAAGCTTGCATGTGTATCTGACCTATGACATTTTACTTCTATATTTACACATTATGTTGGTATGCCAACAGTTAAATCCTTTTTCAGTCATAATTTATGCAATAATGCTTAAGTATCATGGTTTTGGATAGATCTTCTGCTACTCAAGAGTTTATGTGCATCTACTAACCTACTATAGTTGATTTTTCCATTGGTTTTAGGTCTCAGGAAAGCCGATCAAACTTGTAGGCCGAGGGGAGCGGATGGAGGATCTTGAACCTTTCTACCCAGATCGTATGGCAGGACGCATATTAGGGATGGGAGATGTTCTTTCATTTGTGGAGAAAGCACAAGAAGTTGTAAGTGTAATACATAATGATAGAATTACACTTTTTGAAGGTTGCAATTCAACATCATGTCTTAAACCATTTTCAGATGCAACAAGAAGATGCTGAAAACCTTCAGAAGAAGATCATGAGTGCAAAGTTTGACTTTAACGACTTCCTAAAGCAAACTCGTGCAGTTGCACAGATGGGTTCCGTTAGCCGTGTTATTGGGATGATTCCAGGCATGTCCAAGGTAAGAAACTGAAAACTGCTTGATTATGAATCCATGTATAAATTGTTTTTGTTTATTTCAACAATCCTTTTGAGGACTTGAGATGTATGGAATTAAGCCTTTTCCACCGCCTTATAAATTTAGGTTACCCCTGCACAAATTCGGGAAGCAGAGAAGAGCTTGAAGATAATGGAAGCAATGATTGAAGCAATGACCCCAGGTTCTATTCTGATTTGTCATGGAAATTTAGTGCTTGTTTTTAGACATTTTACTTATCTCCATTCTCCCATAATTTTTTTTTGTTAATTTTTAGTTTTGTTTGATTGTCCAAACTTACTTCAAGTCTTCAACTGTTCCAATGGATCAAGTATTTATACATCATGATTCCATGTCCCTGATTAGTGCCCAATTAGAGTCAGTTTACAGTTTGATTGTCATGATTCAGGGATTTAGCTTTTGTTATAGCTTATAGGGGCTTAGCTAAGATTCTTCATTGACAAGCTTCTTAGTTGTTAATTACTTGATTGGGTAAGAACCCCCCCCCCCCCACACACACACACAAAAAAAAAAAAAAAAAAAAAAAAAAAAAAACACTTGGGTTACCATTATATCATGATGTTTAGAATTTGGACTTTCAATTAAGAAAGGTTAGGCATGGAGGGCCTTGTGGGTTGGGGCAGCCGGGCAGGTATTTAAATTTGTCTTGAAATTTCTCAGTTAAATGTTGTAGATGATTGTTCAAGCTTGGAGAATATTGAAAATGGGCTTAGGCTACCTAGGAAGGTGGTGGAGAGTTTAGGCCACTAACGAGCCCAAAGGAGGTTTCACCCCAAAAGCAATGTTAATGGAGTAGCTACTCAAGTAAAAGCCTATAAAGTGCTTGACATCTAGCCTCATCCCCATTGTAGGATGACCCAGATGTGCACAACATGTGGTTCGACAATAATCGATTATTTCAGAGCGTGTCTTTCTCCCTGATCTCCACATCATTTTGGTCGTGGTAACTTAGTCGTTGTGCTCACTGCTACATGATGTGAAGTCGTCAGGAAAATTCTCACATGTGCCTAAGCCTTTTTAAGTGCTTGGCCTCTATATAACTTTCTCTTAATAATAGCCTCCACATCCCTAATGTAGTGAACTATTTTTCACAAGGATAGAAGGGAGGCACTAGCAATAAGTTACTGAAACTTTCCTGCTTACTGCAACCATGTCAAATTGGGTTTTGCTTGGATACTTTAAGAGATGGAGATGCAGGAGAGGTAGACAAATCACTGAGAGAGTGAGAGGTACCGTATTGTGAAGGAGGGGAACAGGGCCTGTTTTCGGGGTTGCCAGGGATTTTGAATTAGAGCAGTGGGCAATTTCGTGCACGCCAGAAAGTGGTGCCTGAGTAATTATTATGAATTTATGATTTGGAATAGAATATCGGTGTGGAATTGGCATGGATAAACCACTTTTACCTCTCTATCATTTATCCATAAATCAACTCTTTTCACACTGCCTTAATTGGGTGGGTGATATGGGCTTTTTGGATCGGCTGGAGAGGGGACGGGATGACATTAATGATTGGACGATGAATAGAATCATTATTAGAAGTCTTTGTGGGGTAAGTCTTATTTCTCTATGGTATGACTCTACGGGTGGGCTCTGGGGTTTGGCTGGCTTAGGTTAGCCTAATAGCAAGATTAGCACCTGATGCCTTTTCAGGCACTCATTAGTCATTAGGTTAACACTTCTTTCTCTTTAGATGTATTTATTCCCTTTTTCTTATTATCGTGTGTATGCCCCCCTTGCTGTAATAATGACTTGTAAGCATGAATGCTATGTACTGGTTGGTATTGATCCATCCATCTGCTTGTAAGAATGATGGATTTTGTTTCAGTTATGCAGAAATATTTGAGAGTCCATTCACATTATGTATTACATTACTTGTCTGTTTGATCTACGTGTCAGTATAATGTTTTCTGGCCATTCTGAGTGCTTTTGGTTTTCAGAGGAAAGAGAGAAACCGGAACTCTTGGCTGAATCTCCAACAAGGAGAAAAAGGGTTGCCCAAGAATCAGGGAAAACTGAACAGCAGGTATGCATGGCTACTCCTATTAACCTAATATTGAGAAAATGCAAAACTAAATGTTCATGGGAGCATAAAAGTAGCAATTTAAACTGGGTTTAATATCATGAACCAGGTTAGTCAGCTTGTGGCTCAGCTTTTCCAGATGCGTGTCCGCATGAAGAATTTAATGGGTGCAATGGAAGGTGGATCTATACCTGCCCTTGAAAATCTTCAAGAGTCACTTAAATCCGAACAACAGGTTCAGAAATATCCTTGCTCTATTGTCTATAAATAAGTTTTTATGTGATCTTGAATTCTCCAATTTGGGCATGTTGAACTTGAGACTTCTTATTGAGATACGGAATATAAAAGTATATTGATATATGTTATTCTGATATAAAGGTATATTGATGTATAATTACATGTAAATGATCCATAGTCATCTTCTAATCCTGAGAATAGAGCAAGTGATTATTTTTATGATAAATAATAATAAACTATAAATATACTTTTGACTCCCAGCAACTCATTATTGAAAAATAAATAAATAAAAATAAAATTAAAAAAAAGCACTTGATGTAAGTTTTTTTCTGAGAGCTGCTTCAGTACTTGCATGAAAACACAGCTTTGGTTGCTTAGTATTCATGAAAATGCAAAACCCTATTCTGCATGCTCATGAGCTGTTTTTATGTCCCTCAGTTGCTTTTATAAACATTAAATACCTAATTTTCTAGTTTGGATAAAAATAAGTGTTTATGAAGATCGACAACAAATTCCTTTTAATTCATTACATATTTTGTTGTGGTAATAAAAACAACTCAAGTTATGTTGAATTGGCAGAAAAAGAAACAGTTTAAAAATTATATGGCATATGGCTCCTTTGGAAAGCATAGATGATTGAAGATACATGTGATGGAGTGTATTTGTAGGTTTCATAAAAAAAAAAAAGGTGTATTTGTATGTTTTTTTAGACATTGTGTCAACGTGAATTCAATGTATGTCTTAACTGGTATAGTCTCTCTCCTATAATAGGCTCCACCTGGAACTGCAAGGAGAAAGAGAAGATCAGTGTCGAGAAAGCAATATGCAGATTCAGGTTCACCCAGACCAAGTCCTCGTGGCTTTGGTTCAAGTAATTGATTGGAAATTTTGCCTTTAGAAATGCTAAACACGAAACAATGCCAAAACGCATATCAGGTTTTACCTCTAAGGTGTAACCTGGAAATTCTGCTTGAAAGTGGTTCTTGAACTGTCAACTCAACCGCATGAATTTCCGCCCTTGCCTATTGATGTACAATTCAACAATTCCTCTGTTCTGATATGTCTGGAAACAGATGATGTGTTATACCACATGTAATTTTTGACAGTCAAGAATTAAGAAAGAGGTCAAGAAAAGTTCTCAAATCTCAACACACTTCTGAAATCTTAGAAAAACTGGAATATTAGTGTACATGTATTTACAATGAGAAAGACTAGTGTTTCTTTTATTTACAATTGGGCTCTTTCTTAATCATTACTAGTAATAAAATTGGTAAGATTATTAAGCTAGTTTCAATGACAAGAAGCTAGGCACAATATGATCAACTGTCATCCTTCCTCTAGTTACTTCATCTATCCCCTCCAATAAAGGCACCCTTCGATCCCTCCTTTTTTTCTTTAGGATCATATACATCAAGAAAGAAATTGAGCGACGACGATGACAATGTGGTAGTCAATATCAATACCTTGCCATCTTTAAGCTCAGGAATTAGCTGGAAACTTGCATTATTAACATCAAGTTCATGTATGATGGTAAAACGAGTCCAAGATTTCTCGACACCATACTCCTTCATCACCCAAACCTCCACAGCTTTTCCGTCGGTGGTTGAAGAGCCTACACAAAGCATCCCATCCAATACACCTAGATAGGAAACAACAACCATAATCTTTGGGACAAACTCGAACTTGTTCTCGTCTAGATCATACCTTAGTATCAAATTATCATCTACAAGCCAATGTAGAGCACCATTCAAAGCCACTGCCTTGCTTCGAATCAATCCAATCGAGCATTTAGTATCCATGACCTCCCAAGAACAAGTAGCCGCCGTACCTATTGTCAAAACCTCGGCTACAATTTTAGTACTACCATATTGTTGACACAACTTAACCACCTTGAATAGGCCAGTCTTATTGGATCCGTAACCCAACCCATAGTTAAGATTTCGCCACGCTAGTTGACAGTGTGTTTCAGGAAGGACTACACAACGTCTCGTGATGGGATTCACCAAGCGTAACAAAGCTAACACCGAACACGACCGAATATGGTAAAACAACTGGCAAACAAGTAGCCACCCATTGCAAGAAGCTACAACACTACATCCGCTTAAAACTATTCTTGTTCTATCTTCGAAAAATCGCAAATTTTAAGGCGAAACTCGCAATGGTAATCATGATCATAGTCAATTAAGATGGAAGAGTTTGTTTTGCTGTCATAAGCAATAATAGATGAATTATTACGAGTAGTATTATGATATTGGAATAATTTTGGGAACATAGGGTCTGAAATAATTTTGTCAAATGTATATTTAATGCATGAAAATTGTTGACAACATCGTAAGATAGTAGTAACTGGCAATCTACAAATTATTTGCACTAGGATATCTCTTGGCAAACGTTTCGTCAAGATTATGGTGATGGGTGTTTAAGTATTTATATAAGAGGTAATTGCTATCTAACATAATTAGGATATAAAACTATGTTTATCAACTAACTATTGGATTATTTTTAGAAAACCCAATTTTGATAGGAATAGGAAACTATTTAGATATTTGAATAAGTAGAATTCTATAACAACTACAAGTAGAGTTGATCAATATTGGCCAGGCCCGAAGATAGGGGTGTGGGTAAGCTTAGAAAAGCCCAAACCCGACTCGAAAGGTCTGCTTTGACTCGACAAGCAATTGGTCTTACATGTATCCTTATGTAGCTAGGATATATGCAACATCATCTCAATAAAGAAGCAGCCCAGTTGCTAAACACACCCAAATGCCCCGAAACGAAAACGCGACCCAACCCAAACCTTCACTTCCCAAACGCAACCCACTCCAAATCCATATTTTGGTTTTCAATTTTTTTTTTAAAAAATAAAAAAACCGTTTTACTTCTCATTAATTTTTCAAAAATAAAATTCTGCAATTAATTTCTCTCTCCAAACTCTATTATCTCTCCTCTACATGATTTTACTTCACTTAAAACTGAAAAATTAACAATGGATATATGAGAAGAGATGCAAAATCAAAAGGATTGTCCTAAAAGAGGTAAATTTTCTCTGATTTTTGTTTGAATTAATGTAATTTTTTATGAATATCACTGACTTTCGTCGTTACTTTAAGTCCTAATTTTTCGATACTTTGTTCGATTTTTTTGTTTTATATTAGGAAACCAATGCTTATGTTCATAGTTTGAATAATTATGTTCACTTTCTAAAATGCATATGTTCATATTTTTTATGCCTATGTTTACTCTTTGAAAAGCTAGTGTTCACATTTAAGGGAACATATGAATATGATCATATTTTGCATTATTATGTTCTTTTTCTGGAATGTATATATTCACATTTTTTTTCTAAATATGTACATATTTTTAATACTTATAATGCACATGTTTCATAATCATATTATTTTTTATTTCTTCAATTTTTATGTTCATAATTAAATGCCTTATATTCATAATAATATTTTATATGTTCATAGATAATTTCAAATATTCATGATGTAAATATGTGTTAGGAAAATTTGCCAATTACTACCACAAGTTAATACCACTTTGTAAATTACTTCCGCAAATTAAAAAAGCTGTGAATTACTACCGCAAAAAATTTTAAGATGTTGCGATTACTACCAAACCCCCATTAAACCCAACTATGACGTCATTATAGTCTTAAATTATGTGTTATTCAAATTATAACACTTATTAAAACATGGAGGGAGTAGCAATTTTTTTCTGCCAATATATAAGTGATAACGCAGAGTGTGGTGGAAATCTGAACATAATACCCAAGCCTGTAATCGAAATCTAAACTTAATACTCATTTTTATTTAAAAAAAAAGAGAGATTTATCGCTTACAACACATTCGTATGGAATCTTATTAGATTCATCTTAGTGTCTACCTTAATAATATCTAATACGAGTATTTATAAATGCATAATTAAAGATTAAATGGGTAAAATTATGGATTATTGACAAATATGAAAAACAAATAAATTGTTACAAGACAATAACCTCTTCTTTCAATTAATTGAAAAAAACGACACTAACCTCGCTCTCCATCGTTCATTTATTTATTTATTTTTGAAAAAATAGGAGCCAACAATTACAAGACACATTGCCCAAATGACATGTTTAAATATAGAATTTTTAATGGTTGCACAAAAAAAAAAAATAATTAAATAAATTTAGTAAAAAAAAAATTCTCAAGTAATAGTATTTATAGTAAGGGTCGTTAGAGACAAATTCGTAGGAACCTTGTTTTGCAAGCCAATAAGGAGGATTTATAAAATTTGGATTTTGTCATTTATTGTTTTCACTAATCCAAAAAGTCTATATTCTGTTAAATCACAAATTTCATAGTCATTTTAAAATAGAATAACGAAATAAAAAGAATTGAATCAATAAGAATATGGCAAACGAAGAAACTTTAGCTGATGCAATGAATAATGATGCAGCATTTCCGACTACAGATGTAGATGGGGAATTGAATCCTGGCAATCACACGGAATTCGAAGTTGATTCTACGCCCTCTAATATGGCCAAGGTAAAATTGAACCTTTTTATAATCAATATCGGTGATATATTTTCATATTGATTTTATTTAGAGAATAATATATGGAGTATTTAGAATTGTTTAGGTTATTAAGATTTTTTTTATTTTTTTTTTGAAACAATTTTAAGATATTATTTAGTAAATAATAAGATGGGATTTAGGATTATAATAGAATCTAAATTATCTATCTAATATAATCATTACTAATAAATAAAGCCGGTCTCGGCCACGAGACAGCGGCACTTGGCATTTCAGTTTTTCGCCAAGTGTCGTGCCACGATAAATAAGTGTTATTGTGACACATAGAATGCTAAGTATTTTGAATAAATCTTTTTTAAGATAAAAATGTTACATAGTGTTTTATTATCGATATATTTCAATTATTTCATACATACATAATTAATTTTTTAAAATGCTACAATATGATTATGTCACGTAAGATTAGTTTTCTTTTTTAAGCGCTACGTAGATTTATAAATAAAAAAAATATATTATCAGAGCGACACATAAGAATACAGTTTTTTTAAAATTATCATGAACAAAATTAAATGATTTATCATGAACAAACCGTGAGTTGCACAGGTTTCATCTAATATATATATATTATTTTATCTTAGAGTATTTATATAAAGCCTTTTATTATATCATAAGATAGAAATTAGGAAACAATCTTCTAAAAGATATACTATCATATTATAAATTCTAAAGAAATATTATATTCACTAATTAATATCTTAGAGAGTGAGGGATAGTTCAAGTGGTTAGAGCTTCCCTCCTAGAATCGTTCCAAGAGATCATGAGATCGATTCTAGAGGTATAAAATACGAAGTAAAATTTTTTGAAAAATAATTTATTAGGTACTACAAATTAAGGTTACTTTGTACGGGAAATTAGGGTTGAGTCAATATCTATCAATATATATACTAAAATAACAACCGATGATGTCACCTTTGCCTATGTGTCACTATTTTATTTAATTTTTTCCCTCCAAATGCAAGGATGATGTCATAATTTTTTTGAATTTTTAAGCTACTCTATTTAACATATATTGGAATATATATTCCATTTTAAATTTTAAATTTTTGGTTTTTCTACACATGTTATGCTACTTGGTTATTTACGAGTTGTTAACAATAGTTAATTCGGAGTAATATAATTTAATTGAAATTTCTTAATTAAATATGAAAATTATGCACTGTTGGGAATTGTATATTCATATTTAATTAGAAATTAGTTAGGAAAAATGAGGAAGTTATTTTTTTCAGTACGTGTTAAGAAATTTATAATTCAATTCTTATTTTAAAACCGTGCATCGCAAGGGGTTAATCTAGTTAAATATTATTACAATATGATGCCATAATAGTTCTCTATTATATTGTCATATTGACTTATATTTGATGTCATTGAAGGATTTATCAAAACCAAACAAGCCCCAAGGAAAGAAGAAATGTGCAAAGAATGATCCAATGCAGCAAATGAAAACAACCATCATAGTATCTGGGGCCATCTTGATTTTGGCAGGGGTCATCTTTGCAATTAACAAGAAGATTAGAGAGAAATAAATTAAAAGGCAATCACAACAAAATTCAAGTTACTTAATACATCAATTTTGTCTTTACTTTTATATTTTTACATTAGCAATTATTATTGTTATGTAGTGTATACTTTACTCTAGAAATATTTTTAAATCTAGATATTCTTTATATTTCATCCAGAATAATTTTTACATCTTATATACATCAGAAAGGTTGAATGTAATTTCCCATAATTAAAATTATCTTAAAACCTGAGTTAATATAATTTCTTATGACCAAAATAGTTTAACCTCTTGCCTATTCGGTATTCGTATTATATATGTTTATCTGAAAGTTGTAAGTGGACAAGCTTAATTAAGCAAAGCAAAGTTCTATGTGCTTTAAATGTGTTAATTATTATTACTGTAAATAGATTAGTTTATACTCACACTAATACATGGAAATTAGGATTTGGTGTAAATTCTTACACCAGACATTTTGACACTCAAACCAAATTTACATTGGTCAAGCTCAAGGATATGTCCTCCATATTTATATTTAGGCCCTGTTTGATTCACCTTAATTTTGCTGAACTGAAATTATTTTTACTGAACAGAACTTATTTTTACTGAACTAAAATTATTTTTACTGAACTTAAATTATTTTTACTGATTTTCTATTATAATTCTTCTTTAAGAAAACTGAATTTTACTGAACTGAACTTATTTTTACTGAACTGAAATTAATTTTACTGAACTGAACTTATTTTTACTTAATATTATTTTTTTAAGGTGAAGAGAACAGGGCTTTAATATAAATATGAACATTTGAGTAGGAAGTTACAACCTAAAACTCTAATAGAGTCTCAAATCAGGCAGCATATTGGTTAAGCTGACCTCGAAGTTGGTCTTATTTGAGGCGGTCTCAAAGGCCTTCAAACCGTTTGATAATAGTCATTGAGACAAAACACTAACAATCCATCTTAATAATGCAAATAAATTATACATAGTAATATAGACATCAAGACATGATCAATCCACGGTCATACAATTAGAAAAAATTGATGACAAGTTTCAAAAAAAAAAACCTGTGCTACCTATATCAATATTATCTATAAACAATATTACAATTTGCATTCTTATAACGCAGTAAACATAGCAAAAAATGTATCCTAACTCCTGAATTCCTGATTCACCTTTACCCAGATTGAACAAGAAAGTTGCAACCAATATTTACTTTGATTTGGAAATCCAAATCTTTAACCCCGAAAGTACCTCATAAAATTAGATCAGGATCTTCCATTTTCTTCCAGTGACATTTTCTAAAGCCAATCACCAATTGCTTCACACTGTAGAGCTTTGAAATACAATTGCTCCAGAAACAAGAATACAGTGGTTGGCCATGAATGAGGCGTTAGGGGTTAGCCTGTCCTTTCAGTGCATGGCATTCTTCTGGATCTAGTTCATATGACAAGATTAGCTGATGATTGCAAGTCGTGGAAGTTATTAATTATCATTGAACGGTCAACCTCTCGCAGCCTACCAGCTTCTAGGAGGAAGACTCTCTCAGCCATCAGAACTGTTTCAAGCCGGTGAGCAATGACCAAAACCTGCAAAAAAAATCATTAGGTTTTAAAATAATCTCATTGAAAATGGAAAATAAAGACTGATATTATTATATCAGATTTCACATAAAATCAGTTCAACCACATTTATTCAAATGTTCTAGAAATTATCTTGTTAGCTGCATGTGAGTTCACACAAATGGAACAAAGCGCCAATTACTAGTGACAAGCTAACAACTTTGCAGAACAATTTATCATTTCATTATCTTCATATATTTCAATTATGATTAAATAGACAATATAACAGAATATTCAGCACTACCATCTAGCTAATCACACTCCAGCACTACTATAAAGCTCTTGCATTTAATCCTTCCAACAGTCAACCTAATTCGGACTAGTAGATGTAACAGACTAGCACTCTGATTTGTATATTTATACAAATAAGCAGAAATTTAAGGCTGAAAGCTTGAAATTATATTAAACCTGCTGATGCTCTTACAAAAGGTAGTAGGTTTTGCCTACAAATCTCATATTAGTGACTTTAGGTCACAACTCTCCAAACAGTGAATTGAGGTCACAACTATCCTAAGGATTCACTCCAAAACTCTACGTACTCTTCCTTTTCCCCCTCTCTCTGTATATACTAAAACTAAGGACTATAAGACTATTAACGTAATAAAGTAATAACACTAGACTACCCATATTGCCCCTCCTTAGGCTAGTCCATTACAGTAGAAGGATAAGATAGCTGATTGCCATCAGTCCCATCACCTCAAGCACATGAGATGTCGCGATTGATTTTATCATCAATAAAAACATAAACATATGAAAAAGTTATATACTTGTACATTATAAATCCCACAAAGCCACGCAAGGCTTAAGAAAACTCAGGATGAAAATCATGGTAAGCACCTACTTGGCATGACTTGATGGTATTTACAATTTGTGGACCACACAAAGGATACCATATTCCTATTAGCAGCAGATGCAGATTGATTTCTCCTACCTGGTAAGGAGAAGGTCAATATACATGAAAATCCTCTTAATTGTAGAGGCAGTGCTTCTGGCAGATCCTAATTAAAGATGCACCAACATGGGGCAACAGGGCATCTAATAGACCACTGAGTCTCCAAAGCTGAAAAAGTACCACAAAAGCAATTCTTTTTCTAAGAAGCTGGGAAAAAAAAAAACAGTTGGGATTCTGTGAACATCATCAAAGTTCCTAAGTGCATATGGATTTCTAGGGTCTAGGCGGTAGCACAGAAATCAACCCAGTAACAGCAGCTTGGTTAATTAGCTCACTATGCAATGCACAACCTTGCACCTATGAACCTATCTACTGAGAGCATTAGTATTACACACAGCCACAAATAACATACAAAAGCTAATGAGTCTGCCAGAGAGACAAGTCTTCAGGGGCCCTTCTTTTCCATCATAGTTACAGGCTTGCAACCATATGCACAGGAAAAAAATTGGATATAAAGACAAACGAAGAGAAGTAAAGAGGCAAGTGTACAAATTTGAATCAGAATATCTGTTTGTAATCTTAGAATGTGTTCAGGACTCAGCACAGCTTAAATTGATTGGAGCAATTGTACAATGATGAGATACAGGACTTTTCTCAAGTGAAATAGCAAGGTATTGAAGAAAGATACAAGAAGCCAATTCAATGCCAAAACAAAATATATAGCATGATGAAAATTAAACAAAAGTCCAATGATGACGAGGGAGGGGTGGGGCAGGGGGTGCAAAAAAGATACTATATGAAGAAGCACAAGTCCTCACAGTATGATTTTTCATCACACGCTCCACAGCTTGTCTCACCAATAGCTCAGACCTGCTATCCAAGGCAGAAGTTGCTTCATCCATAATCAAAATGGAGGAGTTCTGATAAATTGCTCTTGCTATTGCAAGCCTGCATAGGGGCAACAGAAAATGAGCTATCAATGTCAACCAAAGAATAATCCTTTACTACAGATATGATGAGTTGCATTTGTCTTTTATCAATGACAAGAAATATAAAACAATATTGAAGCTGAAAAGAAATAAATTGTTATAGTTTGTCCCAGATTTAGCCCCCTTCCCTTCAGATTATTTGCCCCATAAAATATATTACCTCCAATTTCTTTTCCTTTTTCTTTTTTCTTTATTTATTCTACTTGGTAGATACAAAAAAGAAGGCATTTGTAAGAAAAAGGCGGACAAAGTAGGAGAGATGGAGTAAAAAGATGGAAGAGCATAAGAAACAAATAGAAAACATACGAAAAGAGCGTGTAAAGATAGTAAAGGGTATTTTATCAAAAATGTAATAAAATAGAAGTGAGTGGAGCAGGGAAAAAAAAGGGGGGGGGGGTAACATAAATGGAAAGTGAGTATATAGATAAATAAAACAGAAGTAGAATAATACAAAACCCACAGCATCATCATTCATCAGCCCTAAAACCCCAAAAAAAAGCTTTTAATACAACATATCAAATTAAACAAAAATCACATGATTTAGATACGAATTGGTGTAATTTATGAAGGACAAAACTTGGAAAAGATTTCTTCTTATTATGCTATCTGAAATCAGTTTGATTGGTGTAACAAACATTAAATCACAATAGTTATGGACAAAATACTTTCAATGATAAGACCTAGTAATATGCTACTGAATGGTGGTCAGTGGTTGTTGTGTCAAGCTAAACTTTTGATTTGCACAATTAAAGCCTAGAATAGGATAAGGTCAGGTTTCACCTGTTTTTTTTCCCTCTAATATCAACAGAAATTGAAGGATCAGCATCAGCAATTTTAGAATTATTTACTATGGACCAAATCTCAAGTAACTGTTCTTCATTTTTATTTGTGGTATTCAGTTAGCCAACCCCTTTAAGATTAAGGGTCTTAAAGAACTAAATTTTCTTCATCCATAAGGATATAGTTGCTTACATTAGCATATGACCTACAATCTTAACATCAGCTGAATGCCAGGAGCCAAGTAAGAGGATATGGGGTACAGTTAGTGTTAAGTTATATAAATAAAGTACTAATTTCCATTCCATTTTTTGTCATAGACTTATCATGAAGTGATAAATCATTTAAATAATAGCCACAAAGACAATTAATTCATTATTGGACTAACCTTTAAATAATAGCCACAAAGACAATTAATTCATTATTGGACTAACCTTTGCTTTTGCCCCCCACTTAATATTGAGCCTCGTGAACCAATATAAGTCTCATACCCTCTAGGAAGCAAATTGATGAACTCATCAGCATTTGCAGTTTTTGCAGCTAGCTCAACTTTCTCTGGGTCAATTCCTCTCATAAGATCTTTATAGCCAATATTCTCAGCAACTGTCCCTGAAAACAGCATCTAGTAGATCTCCAGCAAAATGGAAAGAAAATATTTTTTTAATCAGAAAATATCTCCAAGGTTCAAACCATTTTCATCACAGAGATAACCTCATACAAGACACAAAATAGAGGGTTTTTTCTCTAATAAAAGACCTGAAATTTGTGTTCAAAGTTTATAATTAGGCAAAGGGAGGAAACATGGTCCCGATTCCCAACTAACGATCAGATTCAGATCCATTGCAGCATTAATTATTTAGGGCACAACACCGGATATTTAATGATAAGATTTTTTTTATTAAAAAAAAAAAAAATGTTTGATACGAGAATCAATCTGAAAAGTCTCCAATCAGAGGTCCAAAGCATTATGGAGTTGGATGAGAAGTAAACTAAGCAGTGGTCAGCAAAGGCATCTAGGTTAAATCAAGTATCATATAAGCCAATAGAAAGTGAAATTGTCAGTTATTGGTTCATGACATACAACCTACCTAAGTCTAACTCATTACTCATATAATTTATACACTGTTACATAGCCAAAAGTTACATTAACCCATCATTATTTATACAAATTTTCTAACTGCAAATACGTAAAAAAATATGAGAGAAATTGGTAATCAATGGTATTGTACTCACAATATCTTGGGACACTAAAGCAACATGTCTCCGTAAACTTTCCAGCTGAAAACATTGAATGTTGAGTCCATCAATTAATATACAACCTACCAAACAGAGAAGCAAACAAACAATATCTCTAGTTAGACCAAAATCAATAGTAAAACTTAATAGAATTTGTAATATGAGGATATGTGCCCTTTTAGGAGGAGAAGAGAGCCTGTTGTGACTCACCATGCAAGGGATCATATAGGCGAAGAAGAAGTTTAGCCAAAGTTGTTTTCCCTCCTCCAGATGGGCCCACAATAGCAACTATTTCTCCAGCTTTAATGTGGAGGTCAACACCATTCAAGACAAGGGGTAAACCATCTTTATATCGAAATGATATATCACAAAACTTCACTTCACCTCTGACAGAATTTATATGAATTGCATCCACTCTCTCTATCACCTATATATTAAAGAAGGTAAGAACTTCATTGAAAAGCTAGGTCAGTTATGAATCGTACGATTGCCCTCCAGAAATACAAACTGTAAAGGCATGATATCAATAGTTGATGTTAGAATGCATAAGATATATATATTGAAATGAAACGAGCACAGTATTAAATCACAAAGGCATGGCGATTTGGCACAATAAAGTAGTAAAATGTACAGCAACAGAAATTCATAGCCTTTACATAATTGAAGTCTATTATATCATATTGCTCACATTGAAACCATCTAAAAACCATAGAATTTGGAAATTAGCCCTTATACCATTGCGCTCAATTTATATGAAAGTACACTTTTCAAGTAGTTTTTGATACCTCGATCTACCATCTTTTGTCACATTCTCATGTTATACTAGCATTTCAAATTAGAATCTGCATTCAGAAGTTAAGTCTAGTCACTTCAAATTTCAAAATCGTTTATTAAAGATCTTAAAACTATCAATATAATGGAAGTCAATCTGAAATTCCTCATAGTGGGGATGGTATCCAGTATCCACAAAGCTGCCACTTATCCAGTGATACTCACTCCAACTTAGATTGATGCCACCCTTCCAGCTAGTACAATTTTGCAAGAAAAACCTTCAAAGAAAGATGGAATCAAATAGTAAAAGGCAGATGTTACTATCCTCTAGCTGATATGTCTATTTGTGGTGGCCTAGCTAGTACAAGAGTCAAGTTTTCGTAGACAAATAGGAAGTTGAAGGGAATGAACTGGTGAGGGGATTTCCATTTCCACAAAATTATGTCATCTATAAACTCCATAGTCCCAGGAAAGGAGCAAAAAAAAAGATATCTTGAAACCAAGCATGGGTTTGGGGAATGATGAGTACGGCGTACAGAAAAAAGTAGATAAGACAAAGAAGAAAAAGAACATACAAGAAAGAAAGAAATTCCAATCAGAACCAGGTTAGAATGAACAATATAGCTTGGCATACATTTATAATTAGATATTTAATCCATGAGAGAAGCTAGGATAAGCTTCAGTAATTAGTTAATGTCTAGATTTCCATTAAATACAAAAAAAATTCTCACTTCAAGATGGGGCAACAAAACCCTACAATCCTACATATCTTGTTAACATGGAACTCAGCACTTCAACTTTTAGATAGTAAGAAGCATTTTAAAAAAGGTATATCCATGCCCCAAGCCAGAGGGGGAAAAACCAATCTGGCCACTACTTACCCGAGGGGTGAATCTAGTAAGATCAAACAAACGCTCAATAGCTGGCTCTCCTTGCTTCAACTCATTGTATGCTTTTCCAACACCCTGCAAAATGATCATTTTTCAGTTTGACAGCATGAAACAGCACCTTATTGTGTGATGGAGGAACAAAAAATGAAATAAACACAGGGTTACCGGTTACATAAGAAACCTTATGAGTTTTATTGAATGGTCATAAAGTTCTAGTCTCTTTTTGTTATTGTTGGAATTCAGAGAGAAATGCTTCAATATCATATCAAGATCTCCATATAGTGGCTTCCTGAGTCATTAATTCTTACAAGAAACAATATTTATCTCTGCCTTCCACTTAATAGATTTGTTCCTAAGGTCAACAAGAGGAGTATTTTTTTGATATAAAAAATAATTGCGGTTGTGTGTTGATGGGGCAGGGGAGAGTAAGAGAGCTAAGACCAAACTATTACCTGAATAGGGTCAACTAAGAAGGCCAAGGAAGTAAAAAACGTGATCAAGCTGCAAGTGTTGAAGAATCCCTTGGATAAAAAGAGCGACCCAGCCAAAAAGATGAGCAAAGCTCCAAAATAAACAGCTTGCACAATTTGAGGAATGAGGGCCTTCATTTTCTTCTTTTTTAACTGTCGGTTCAGGTCAGCATGAGCAAGTTGTTTGAACCTAACACTTTCGGTCCACTCCATATTGCTAGCTTTAACAAAAAGGATTGAGGGGAGTACCTGATCAACACATTAGTCTGCATTGGCCTAAAAACTGCTAGAAAATCCATAACTGCATTTAAATATTTCTAGAATGTAAAAATTTTCCTTTTTCCTCCACACTAACAGGTTTCGATTATGGACCAAAAATGTGGTCAAGTGAAAAAAAAATATCAACCAAGATGCTAAAATGAAATTGTTATACTCCAATAGGTACCTAAACAAACCTCATTCAAATAAGCGGAAAGAGCAGCGATACTCTGATGTGCCTTCCTTGAAATTCTTTGAAGCCTCGCACCAAGTAAAGTAATAGCAAGTGCCACAGAAGGAATAACCTTTATATACACAATACTTTATGTCATTTAGTAGCAGTTCAAAAAAAATTAAAAAAATAAAGATAAAAATTGGGTTTAGGTCAGTTATTCCTTACCAAGGCAGATATCGTTGACAGAACAGGGCTGATGACCAACATCTGTGCCGCCATAGCCGATAACTGGAGAGTGCAAGGAACTATGGTCTGTCATAAGAATCAACAAAAACAGTTATAAGATATCCAAAGTCAAATTGAATTACTTTAATTGCATAAGTTTGGTTCAAACTATGTACAGGTACACCCAAACAAGTGCCTCGACGCAAGCATTCAACTTGACGACATCATATTGTACAAAGGAAGAAATCCCATTCCATAAACAAACTTACAAAAGTTCATTTACACAAATCTTCTTTGCATTTCTATCTTTTCTTCCTAAAACTCCTAAATCATATCAAATTTTAATGCTCAAAATTAAAAAACAAGCATTGAAATTCATGACCAATTTGCATTTAAACAATTCTAGCAATCACCAACAACAACTCCAAGCAAAAAAGAAATTCAAATAGGAGAAAATATCAAAAGATAAATTCCAACTCACATTTAGAAGAGCAAAGATTGTTTCAGCAATATCAGAAGCCTCGGAAGTGATCCGGTGTGAGATATCTCCAGAAGAAACAAAAACACCATGATCATCGCCGCCTTCGAAAAACCCTAAATCTCTCTCTAAAACCCTCTGAAAAACATAAGCCCTGATCTTATAGGCACAATTGAACGCTGCCTCCCACAAGAACGCCTGTTGCAAGTAATTCGCAATCAATCGAACAACAAAGTATGAAGCAAGTATAGCAACATCGTTGTTAATCGAACTAAAATCACCCAAAATTAGGGATAATTTCCCAGCTTTAGGAACAATTTTGGAGAGAGAAAACACAGAAATTGCGCTGCAAGTCCAACCTTGAAGGATTAACCTCCATTCCGATTGAATATAGGGTTTGATTGATTGGAAAGATGAGATTGAAGAGGAGAGTGAATCAGCGGATGATGGAATTGAAGAGAATTTAAGGGAAATGGAGGGTTTAATTGAAGATTTAAGGGGAAATTTGAGGGAAAAGTTGAAATTTTTAGTGTGATTTGGGGTTTTAGGTTTCAAATTGATTTGAAGAAAGGAGGACGGAAAACTATGAAGTTGTATAAGAGACATTATGAAGTAGAAAACTACTAAAATTAGAAGATTTAAAAATGGTTGATAACCATTTTAGTGGAACTCGCGCCACTTTTTTTTTTTTTATTTATTTATTTATTTATTGGGTTTTTCTACATGGTACCCTCAAATTATCGCGATTTCTATGTTGTATCCTTTTAAATCCAAACTTCTACAGGGTGCCCATAAGTTTAAGTAACTTAATTACTTTTAACCATTTATTAAGTTAATGTTAAAACACTTTTAAATAGACTATTAACTATGGTTAGCAATCTTTTTTTTTTTTACTTTAAAAAAAAAAGAAAAAAAAAAAAGAGGTTAGTATAATATAACCTTATAATTTAGTTATAACTTTATAAGATAAATTTAGTTGTTTTTCCCCCCAAGCTCACCATCTTCCATAGCTTCTTCTTTTTCTTCTCCAAAATGAACTCTTTTTCTCTAAACTTTCTCAATCAACTTATCTCTAATTAAAATCTGAATTATGCAAGAATGAATTAGCAAACAACATCAACCAATTTCTAACCCGCAGCGTTCCCCGTTAAAACCCAAAAAAATTCCCCCGTAAACTCCTAAAATTCAGCCCCATATTCACCGTATCGTCATTCTCCGATGTCAAATCGACTCAAATGTAATCCAAAAAAATTTGTAAAACATGAAAATAGCAATCCAAAAACACAGTAGTTATGTTTGTATTGTTTGTCTTTCATTTTTGATGAAGTGATTTTTTATCTCTGAAATGTAATCCAAAAAAAATTTGTAAATCATGACAGTAGCAATCTAAAAAAATTCAGCACCTTTTTTTTATGATGATGTGATTTTTTGTATTCTTTTATATTAAAGAACTGAGAACATATATAATATACTAAGATGGAATCCTACATGGAACTTCTAGAGCATATATCTCATTATCTATTACTTTGTATTGTTTATGATTAGAATGCCAGTTGCCATGATTCATAAGTTAGAGTTGCAAAAAAGGGTAGTAGTTGATGCCTGGATTTATAGAGCAATTTTGTTTAAGCAGGATCGGGTTTGATATTTTATAAAACCAATTGCAAAACAGGACTACAAAAACCTTATATAGTACAGAGTCTGTAGAGTATCTGCAATACAGAAAAAACATATCTGAAATTTTAGACAGTAGCAATCCAAAAAAAATCATAAAAATCTGTTTGGTTCATCATATTATCCATTATACCAGTGAAAATAGTCCAAAAACACAGTAGTTATCACTACTAAAACCGTAATCCTAAAAACATCCAGGTTTAACAAAATGCAAAACCCACAAGAATAAGGGAAATACATGTGAATAAGACCAACACATTAGGGAAACCAAATCTATCTTGTCTTTTGTCTCTTGCCAGCACAACTTATAGAATGGAGTGGATCACTTGATGAAGGTTGAGTTGAGTTCGACTTTGTTGATGCAAATGCTGATGGCTTGACCTTAGTTGCGTCATGTGGTTAGATGCTTGCGATTCTGCAATCATGAGGTCAATCATGTTCATTTCATTACTTTTGCGTTCTCTTGTTCTTAGATTACTTTTCCCCTTTGAAGCTGCCTTTTTTGAACTTGTATCTGTGATTCCTTGTTGCATTAGTTTCTCTTTTCGTGTTGCTCCTCCCTTTCATGTGAGAGCATTGTGGCCATATTCCTTGCACTTACTACATTGAACGGTGCTACTCCTCTTTCCTATCCTCTGCTCTCCCTCTTCTCATCTCCTATTACGTGAAGGCCTCCCTACGCTCCTTTTCATAGTAGGTGGGATTAACTTTGGGACAGAAAGCTCAGGCCACTGGTTACAGTCAGGAATTGGTAAAATATTCCCCTTGTACGCCTCCTTATACATAGCCACAGAGTACCACTCCCTAACAAAGTCCAATGGGTCATTTCCAGCATGCAAAATAACTTTGATAGCATGCTTACAAGGAATTCCACTAACCTGCCATTTACCACAAACACAACTCTTATTGTTCAAGGATACGGGAAGTATACTTCTCCCATCTGACACCTCATATTCACCTCTTCCTGCGGGGTATGCATTGCATTGTCTTGAATCCTTTGTTAGGACCCTAACTTGAGCAAGAATATTAGGACATACTCCATCATCTTTCCAATCCTCACATAATTGTTGCCTAGTTGCATGTCTAACCATTGCGATTATTCTAACACCTACATATAATGACACAAGTTGATGTAAGATTTACATGTCATTTAAAAAAGTAAATAAGTCAAGTTAAATTAATTACCTTCAAGAAGTGTCAGGATTGGGTAAGTCCTTTCAACGCCTATAGTGTTATTAAAACTCTCTACAAAGTTGTTTGTGTTCTCATCTGAGCATAATTGAGGATCAAACCTCCATTTAGTCCACCTTTCCATTGGTCCAATCTCTTTAAGCCACTTCACAGCACCTAAGCCTCCATACTTCTGAATTTGCTCCATTGACTTTCTAAATGTGAACACAGAGCATGCATTTGCAACTCCCCAAAAAAGTTTGTGCATTAATACTCCGGGGTAATCTTTCTTAAAGTTTTTGCACAAATGTCTAGCACAGTATCTCCTTGGAACCTTGGCCCAAACCTCATCCAATGAAGGGTCAATACCCTAAGAGATCAACAAATGCAAAGACAAGGTTAAAATAGCAAATAATTATGTATCATAAAAAAAATGTAAAAAACCACACAATACCTTTTGCCTATCTGACATTATCGTCCTGTCATCTCTTCCATCATTAGTCAAGATGTTTTTTAAGTGATGAAAAAACCAAGACCAACTAGTCTTATTCTCGGAGTCAACCACTGCGATAGCAATCGGGAATATCTCATTATTTGGATCAAGAGACACGACACTTAAAAGGATTCCGCCATAGTTTCCCTTAAGGTGACATCCATCTACCCCAACAAGACCTCGACATCCATTCAATAACCCCCTAAACTATGCAGCAAAGCTTATGAAGATTGACTTGAATTGTAGTGTTCTCCCAGGCTCTTCAAGTTCTTTCCATGTACAAAAAGCTATGGATCCTGGATTTCTATCCTTGATCAACTCACAATAGAATACAAGGTTTTTGTAAGATTCATCATGCCCCCCTTGAATAATATGCAACGCTTTGGCCTTCATCTTGTAAATTGTAGAGGTAGCCATAGTCACTCCGTACCTCTCCCATAGCAAAGCATTCATAGCTTTCCCTTTAATATCTAGGCTGGCCCTAATGTCCTCAAGAAGTTTTGTAGCAGCCCAGTCACAATTACACATTGGGTTGTTAACCAAGGGGTCACATTTATGTCCTTCTCTAATGCTTTCAATTGCCCAAGTGTGCTCATCTGGCAGTTTACTTGCATGAATTCTCCAAGAGCATCTCATATCAGCACATTCTGCAGTGTACCTGTCATTATCAGCTTTTTTGACCACTAGTGAGAATCCCTCTTGCACACAAAGTCTCTAAGGACATCTCTAAAATGGTCTTTATCCACGAATAATTGCCATGCTCTTAACCTTATCCTTCCAATGTCAGCATCATCATAAACCTCCCCATTTCTATACATCCTTGACAAATACCCACCGTCATCTTCATATACATCACCTCTCACACTAAAAGGTTCCCATCCACCATCCACATAATTTTCCTTAAGCAGTTCCGTTGTATTCTCCTCAGCGTCAAAGTCAAAATCAAGTAACTGGTCACTTCCTTCATCGGACTCTAAAGGTTCATACTCATAATCACTCTCACTACCACTACTACTACCGTTCTCATGTACTTCAACCATTTCCCGACCGAAAATTGTGTGCTCCCTATCCCTAAACCTAGTCCTTGAACCGGAAACCTCTTGTGTTTCCACCTCTGTGTTGTCATTAGTAGGGTTCCATAATCCCTTGTGGATAGCTGTTGTTTTGGGCATCTTCTTACCATGAGTGAAAACACAAGGCCTACATGACTTAGGTTTTGGGGTAACAATATTAAGATTTGTGGTTGTAACTTTTGGGTCGGGTAGTGGTGAGTTGTTCACTTGTGATAAGGATTCAAACTCATCAAGGGAAATAGGAATGGCTTCATCATATTTAATGTGGGGAGGAGTTTCAAGAGTGTCAAGTGTCACATTTGTTTGATTTTGTGAAAGAAAAATATGAGGTGGAAAAGTTGATAACTCCTCCAACATTGCGGGTAACCTTCGAACATATATTTTCTGCCTACTAGTGCTAGGTTGTGAGGTATTAGGTTGGACAGTTGGTGTATTGTTCGCCTTCACTTGCATTGCCAAATTCCAAATGAAAGAAGGTTGTGACAAACAACCAACCCACAAATCAATACTCTTCTTCCCAATATCTTCAAACATTTTCAATAAGCTTTTATCATCAGTAAGGTCAATTTTTTTTTTGCCTAGCACAATAGTATATGCTTGGGTACAGGGGCAAAACAAAACCTTTCTTTGAGAACTCATCACACATATCATTGATCACATCAAGTAGCACACATTGATCAACATCATCAACCACAACATCGACAACATTACCATCATGATTAATTCTTAACACCCTCCTATCCATTCTGCATCAAATTCGTAAACAAACCATGTACAAATAACTTAAATTGCTAACAAGAAACCATAAAATTCAATATATACTTGTAAACCACAACAACTCCACTCAAACAAATTTAGACATTCAACATAGCAAACATAAAGTACGCATGCAAGAAGTTTACACTGATAATCAACCCAACAACGAACTACTATTGTTAAATTTACCAATTCTTTTGGTTAATGTAATCAATTTTAATTATTGTAAACATAAGATAACAAGAAATTAACTATCAATTTTGGATGAAAAAAAATTGTTCGATCATACCTTTGCCTCAACGAAGAACACCAAAATTTCTGATCGAAAAAAGCAAAGAAGAATTCTGGATATATATGTTATTGTATATATTAATCAATCCTTATTAGCTTCGAATTTTCGAGTAAAAATCTTAGGGTTTGTAGCAATTGGGAATTCAATGAGATAGTCGTTTTCAATCAAACAGGGGCGCGCGAGAGAAGGGATTTGAGCAGAATGAGGTTTTATTTGTCCTCTAATAAATTAGCAATTAACTAAGGTGGGTGGTTAATTTAACTACTAGTTAATTATCATCAACAAAAACGCTTATAAAGGGTAAATATTAAACAATACATAAAATTTGTGGGCACCGTGTAGAAGTTTGGATTTAGAAGGGTACAACATAGAAAACGCGATAATTAGAGGGTACCATGTAGAAAAACCCTTATTTATTTATTTTTTATTCTAATGAGGCAATGCCAAAAAAAGAACAAGCAAAATAAAGAAAAAATACAAAGACAAAAACAAACAACTAAGAAGGAAGAACTAGGCGAGGGAAGCCACCCCGCTAGCGTCGTTCTTTTTTTTTTTTTTTTTGGCAAATAGCTAGCGTCTTCTTCTAGAATACTATTAAGGCCTAAAGGAATAAAACTAAGAAGATCAAAATCCGTGTCTTGAGAGACTCCGCAGTTGGCCAATCAATCCGCCGCGCGATTTCCTTCACGATACACATGAGTTTTCTTTACCTCTTAACTGTGTAAGTTAAGCATATTTATACACATTTTTAATTCATGCACATTCTCACCTCCAATAGTTGTCCCCTGCTTCAGAATTGCACACATGCTAGGTTGTCTAATTGGATTTCCAACTTTTCAATCTG